CTAGGCAGTGGCTTAATAGTTAATGTAACAATATCAGTCTTTTTGATACAAAATTAAAAATTATGTTTTGCATAGTAAATAGGGTTTTCTTACTCTTTTGCAGTTCATTCGTTTTTGTTAAATATTATTTTGTAAAATTTATTGTCTCTCTAATAAAATATGAATGTGCAACCTATATTTTTTGAATTCGCATTTTATATTTTTTATAAATGATAGAGCTTAAACATATTTATTATTATATTATTGTTTAACAACTTAATTGTTTTACTTTTTTTCCCGTCGATCCTGTCCTCGCCACTACATAAAATAAGTGACTACATAAAAATAAATGTATGGTTTAAGTAATCCCTGATGTGACAGTATAACTCTTTCTTGTTTAGGTCATTTGAGTAAGGAAAGAAACTCACCTAAACATGGTAAAAATGCATGTTTTATAGATACAAAAAATCAGAAAATATCTAAATATTATCTCAGAAAAATGCTTGATATATCAGGAAATTAAATATTTGTTAGTATATTATCTAAAAATGATAACATTTGTTGTTGTTTCAAGATAAAATGAAAATAATTTTTTTTTTAACGTTGCTTTTAATAAACAGAAGCCGTGGCGCAGTGATAAGAATTATAACTCAAAACGAGGAGGTTTCATGACGGCTCTAGCCCAATAACCGTCATTGAAAGGGAAGAAAACTTTAGATAAATGCTCCTCCGCTGTGTTCTGTGATAATAACTCTACGGCTTTTTGGAAAAACTTAACTAAGTAATAATAACTAAAGAAAACTTTTAAGTCACTGGCAACTTAGAAGGAAGGGTCACCCTCCCAAAATTTTGAACGTAGCGCAGCTACGTTTACTGTTGAGGCCTCTCTGTTGACTTTAAACGCCACTGCTCATTTTAGAAAAATAACAGCATTCCAAATACATTCTTTTTTACTGCACTCAAAATTTTTTCTTTGATACCTTACCAATAGAAAAACATTTTTTTCATTAGATTCTAACACATAAATGAATTCTAACAAAAAGCCACTATAATTTTCTACAAATGTTTGCTGTCAAATTTGCAGTTCTAAAGTCTTTAAGCATACTCAAGGTGACTAATCCTTTGATTAAATATTTTTGAATAAGTACTACAGAGATGATTCATTAATTTATTCCCACGTACTTTAAAACTTGAATACTACTTTTTTCTGTTTAATTAAATAATTGATTTGATTAAAAACTAGGATATATAAAAATTCTTTCAAAAGTCTTGAACTGAGACCAAAAAGCTAAAAGCTACATTTTGTTCTGCATTTGCAATATTTCAAAATGTTTTGGTCTGCTTAACATTGCCCACAATAGCTTTAAAAATATTTGTAAAAGATGCTAGCTATTGGTGGGGATCTTCAAAGATATCTAGCGTCAATGTTGCTTAGTGTGCAAGGATTCATTCTCATGAGTTTGAGGCCCACATAGAATATTATCGTGTAACAAGAATTGATATCACAAGAGATGCTCTCTGCTTGTAGACAAGGTTTGCTTAATATTGTTGTAGTTGTTGCTGTGTAAGAGAACCGGTTGGTTCTCTTACACAGCAACAAAGGTTTTTTTCTTAACACAGCTTTTTTATCTAAAAATTCGCTTGCTTGATGGTTCACCGAGGTCGTTTTCAATAATTCCAATTAAAATTTTCTACTTTTAATTAGTTAACAATTTTTACGCAAATCCTCTTGATACTACTATCAAATGAGATTAGCAAAGAAATTTACAAATAGTTTTATAAACATTAATTTTGATTTTTTCTCTTTAAAAGGACAGAGGCAAAAGTCAAGTTTGGCTTTTTCTTTAAACTTTCGCATTTGCAAAAGATCTTTGCGCAGCGGTGTGTACATACACCGACTGATTTTTGAAGAGAACATGCAGCGGAGTGTACAAACAACAAGTGAGCGTTTGGGGTATGCAGGTCCTCTTTTAAATGAAGAAATCGTTTTTTCCATTTTCGGACCTTAAGGACAGCGTCGGAATAAAGGTTTGACAAGAGAGCCTATAGTCATTCTGGGTAACTTTGAATTTGCGTATAACATTGAATAAAACGTGTAAATGTTTTTAATTTTTTTTTTCTTTCGTATTTTCTTTGCCTGTTGCTTTAACAAAGGATAATATGATAAATTATCCTTTTTTACAAAAGTTTGACCATAGATAATTGAATTTTGTTTCTCAAAAATATTTTTTCCCTCGATTTTTAGTTACATAGTCGAATGTGGTGATAATATCGTGTGTTGTCAATTTAGAATTGGTACTATATTGTAAATATCCGAATATATTTCTTAGTATTTTATTAAATTATTTTTCGAATTTTAATAAAAAGTCAAAATAATAGAAAATAACATGTTTTTTGCTACTAAAGGGATATTTATTTTTACTTAGCTAAAATATAACCCCAATCAGGGTAACTTTGAATAATCAATGGTTCCTGAAAGTGCTTTTCTTGCTGTCTGAGTAACATTGCAATAATGCATAATAAATATAATAGACATCTTTTTATTATAGTATTTTTATTATGTAATAATATATATATATATATATATATATATATATATATATATATATATATATATATATATATATATATATATATATATATATATTATATATCATAAATTAAAATATCTATTGCTAATGTATTTTTATATTTTAAGTTTTGATATTTATGGCTTTTTGATAGTTTTAAAAACTTAATTTATTAATAGCAAATATGCCATTAATTAAATAATTTTCATTAATAACAGCAACTATCTCTATATTTTTTAGCATTCTTAAAATGCCAAGAAAAAGTTTGACAACTCATCCTGGCACTAGAAAATATGGCACAATATCTAATTACTCAAATGCTACACTTCAAGAAGCATTAGCCAAAATTAAATTAGAAAACATGTCGATTGGTGAAACTTCTAAAATTTTTAAAGTACCTAAAACAACATTATTTTATAAGCTAAAAAGTAAACACTGTAAACCAGTAGCGCGGCCTACTGCTCTTAGCATTGATGAGGAACTTTGTTTTGAAAATCATTTACTTTGTTTAAGTGACAAAGGTTTACCGATCTCGATGATAGTGGAAAAAATATACAACAGTTTAAAGATAACCGACCAGGTTGGGAGTGGTGTAGACTTTATCTTGACAGACATCCATCATTAAAAGAAAAAATATCTCATTGTATTTTAAGGAAACGTGCACAGGTTAATTATTGTCAAATGGAATTATTTTTTCAAAATCTAGAGAAGGAATTAAATGGAGTAACACCAGATAACATTTATAATATGGATGAAACAGGGTTTCATGAGGACCCTGAAAAAACACTTATTTTTCGTCGATCCTCTCGCCATCCAGAACTTATAAGAGACACTACAAAATTTTGTTACACTGTTGTTTTTTGTGGAAATGCCTCAGGAAAGCTAATTCCACCATTTTTCATTTTTAAAGGAAAACACAGTTGGTCTGACTGGCTTTTTAATGCACCAGAAGGATCAAGAATGGGAACTTCTTGCAGTGGCTGGATAGAAATTCAAATATTTGAAGGGTGGCTGTTTAATCAAGTTGTTCCAAATATTATAAATAAGGAAGGTAAAAAAATTCTTATTTGTGATAATTTAAGTGCTCATATATCTTTAAAAGCCTTAAATATATGTGAAAAGCATAATATAACATTTATATGTTTGGTACCCAATTCCACAAACCTTTTACAACCTCTAGATGTTGGGTATTTCTCGAGTTTAAAAGCTAGTTGGAGGTCAGTTCTTAATCAATGGCGTAAAACATCCCGTGGGAAAAAAGTTAATAACCTACCAAAAAATTTGTTTTCGCAGCTCATTAAATCTACTCTTAATGTTGGTAAAGAAAATCTAGAACATAATTTACGAGCAGGATTTAAGGCATATATCCATTCGATCCTGAACATGCTCTCTCGAAATTACCCAGTTTTACAAATATAGATATAATCTCAACATTGGAGAATCGTTTAGGAAATATGTTGATGAAATTCATACATCTAATCTTAATTATGAAGCAAGCAAAAAATTCAAGTTACCAATAACAGCAGGGAAAAGTGTATCAGCCACTGAGGTAGAAGCATACTATAAGTTAAGAGACAATAAGAAAAAAAAATCAAGATAATATTGGAACAAAGAAAATAGGAAGACCACTTGGATCAAAAAATATAATTATGAAAATAAACAAAAAAAAAATGTTTTACAAATTTCAAGCATTGTAGATGTTAATCAAGTTATTAAAGACAAATAAACAATCATAACTTGTTTTCCATGATCATGATTATATGATTAAAGAGTTAGTTATGACTCAAGACTAAAATAATGGACTTAAACACTGTAATATTTAATTTTATAGTCACAGGTGTTTATTTGTCTGGAATTATATAGAAATGATGTCTTAATTATTTTTTTCTTTCATAACCTTAAAAATTGATCAACAAGTTCATTTAGTGATTTCTAATATTTTATTGAAAAATTTGTTTGTTTATTCATAATATAGTTTAATTAGATTTTTTTAAAATCAATTTGAGCTAATACAACGAAATTTATACAACTTTTTAGATTTAACTGATTAAAATTGACATTTAATTTAATGTTCAAAGTTACCCTAAATGCAAGTGTAACTTTGAATCCCTACTTGAACTTTGTTTTTTAACAAAATAACTAGCAAATTTAAAAAAATGATAACGAACTAGAAAAAAGAGATCATCAGAACACCTTTTATGTAAAAATGTTTGTTAACTAGTTTGTTTGTTAACTAGTTTGTAAACCTAGCGCAAAGCGTTCAAATTACCCGGAATGACTGTACCTTCTAAAACGCCATTTTCATCCTTTTCAGTGCACATTTTACATCGCTACTTTTATCTTCATCAAGTCAACAGTGACAATAATAATAATTAGAGCTAAACTAAATAATCTAAGGAGCTAAACTAAATTTAAATTTTTGATATTTAATAAAAAATAACTAGAAAACAGTTTTTATTTTTGATATTTAATCAAAAATAACTGGATAACAATTTAAATTAAACTTAATTCAAGCATATGAAATTCATTTGGTATATTTTCACAAACTGAGTTTTGTATTGAAACGGCAAAATATGCCATACTGAAATTACTTGTGCTGACTTCGGGTTCTTGTACGCATGCCTAAAGTTTGTTCGTCAACTTTATCTTCAACAGTCGCAGCTATTAAATCCGTTGCTTTAACTTCATAAGTTTCTTTTTCGACAGGAACTGTTTCCACCAATATTTGCTTTTCAGTAATAGTCGCTTCTTTTGGCGAAAGTTGCTGAGGAACAGCAATAGGATCAACGGCAGACGGCTCAACGACAGACGGCTTTACTTGAACTTGTACTAACTGAGCTTGACGTCGCATTTGCTGGCCTACCTATAACAAGATAAGTACTCTTATAAAATATTTGCAAATAAATAAAAATCTCAAAAAGAATTATGCATCATGCTTTTCACATTACTTTTTTGTTAACAACAAATTCTCACATTTTAGTTAGTCTACCTGCTGAGCTTGCAGTTGTATAGTAGTTCCAGCGGTTGGCGAGGCGGCACTAGAAACAGGAGAGTTCGAGCGTGATTGCGATGCTTGAAGTTGAGCTTGTGATACAAAAGCTTTCACTTGAGATAATTGAGCGGGTGTTGCAGACAATACTTGTTGACGTTGAAGCTGCGGAGACATGTGACTACCAGGTTGTAAATGCAATTGGATCTTTAATTGATAAAAATTAGTTTAGTAAATAATTTTATAAGCAGTAAATAACTTTAGCACAATTTAGGTTATTTTATTTAACAATTTAAAAATACTTTATAACTTATGAGGATAATTGGACCTAGAATACAAACAACAAATATATATAAATATATATACCAATTTTTTCAAAGTGTTTTATGCTTTACCTTCAATAACAATGAGATCATTAGATGTTATCGCTTACAAGGTTATGGCAAGGTGTTAGTGGTGTGAAGGTGTTATAAGAATATGTTAGTGTTGATAAAACCCCAACCGAGGATATCCCAAACGTAACTATGAAAGTTTTAACTGTAACTTTGCGTACTGTATGTCAAAACATTCATCCCATCATACACAAATTTTAAAAACATTTTGTGATGAGTTGTATTGGTCGTATTAATGTAAAAAAGAAATAAAAAACCTGTGGCGATTTTGAGGTAGCTGCTTGAGTCGTAACAACTGCTTTTAATTGTTGTTGTTGTTGTTGTTGTTGCTGTTGTTGTTGCTGCTGCTGTTGTTGTTGCATAACTTGTTTTTGCACAGCAGCTTGAATATTTAGCTGCTGCTGCTGTGCCAAAGAAGATGCTACAATAAGTTGCTGCTGTTGAGATGCAACGTTAAGTTGCTGTTGGGAAACAATATTATTTGGTTGTTGCGAAGGCATTACAACATTTCCGGTCTGTAAATTCACTTGAGCCTGCATAGTTTGCATTTGCTGACCAATACGTTGTTGGTTAGATTGTTGATTAATCATAGCACGAAGTTGTATTTGCTGTGGAAGACCTAAAGTAACTAAAATGTTACATACATATAAATATCTATACATAGAACTAAAATTGTTGAAGTGTGTGTGTGTGTGTATATATATATCATACCTATTCTAAGAAAATAATTTGGGCGGCGGTACCCCTCGTTTTGGCGGACTTTAGCGGAAAATCGGCATTATTGTCGCGAAAAAAACAATATTTAGCAAATGTAGAAATAAAAAAAAATTAAAAAAAAAATTTAAATTTGAATCCTGAAATTTAAATTTAAGAGGCGCCCAAATACGTCGAAAACGAACTATATATATATATATATATATATATATATATATATATATATATATATATATATATATATATATATATATATATATATATATATATATATATATATATATATATATATATATATATATATATATATATATATATATATATATATATATATATATATATATATATATAAATAAAATCTTAAATACCTTGAAATTGACCAGATGCTTGAGTCAATGTTGGGCGCAACAAAATTTGTTGAGAAAGGGAGGCTTGAACTGTTGTACCTTGTGGTAGTTGATGTAATTGAATCTGCTGCCCAGACGACTTTAATGCCTGTGGACTACCACCTTGTTTAACCTGAAACGCACAAACTAATATGTTATTAGAATTTAACAGTGAAAAAATAATAAAAATAATTATAGTAGTATTAATAACATAACTGTTATAGTTTTATTAATAAAAATATTATTAATAAAAGAATAATTTTTTTAAAACAAAAACGAACTTGAGTCATAACTATTTGAGCTTTTGTTTGTGACACCATTGCAGTAGTCACTTGTTGAGGTTGAAACTTAAGTTGCTGTTGAAGCTGTGTATGTCTCTGTTGTTGCTGGAGCTGCTGAAGTTGTTGTTGCGTCAACTTTTGACCTGCTAACATTTGTTGTATTTGTGAACTAGATGCAAGCTGGCCTCGTTGTTGCAATTGTTGAAGTTGTTGTTTTTTCAAAGCTTGTTGAAGAAGTTGCTGTTGCTGAGCTGCAGTTAGTGTTTGAGTTACAATCTGTTGTGGCACAGGCCCACGAATATCTGTTGCTGCTTTCATTGTTTGCACTGTTACAATGCCTGATACTGAGTCTTCTATCATATTGATAAAAAACAATGTAAATGAGCCATTAACAGTTCAAGAAAAACAAACAAACAAAAAATACAAACTTAGCTTGTACTGTTACAATCTACAATATAAACTTAGTTTGTACGGTTATAATATGCAAAAAAAAAATTAAAAAAAAGTTTTTTTTTGTACTTTTTCAATACTTGATTTTGAGTCTTCTATCATACAGATAAAAAACAATGTAAATGATCCATTAATAGTTCAAGAAAAACAGTCAAAAAAAATAAACTTAGTTTTGAAAAGTCAGATTTTTATAATCAGAATTATTTATTATAAATACTAATATCTAACCAGGTTGCATTCCAGTAGCTACAACAGTCAATTGCTTTGAAACTTGCGTTTGTGGTTGAAGCTGCTGTTGGACAAGTTTTAATTGTTGTTTGTTTTGCTGCTGCAAACGCTGCTGTTGTTGAATCTTAAGCAGCTGTTGTTGTTGTTGTTGCTGCTGTTGCTGAGCTTTTTGTCTTAATATAGCAATCTGTTGTTGGGTAAGAGCTTTTCCTTGGATAAATGGTTGTGTCGTAATCAATGCTATTTTTTTTAAATAAAAAATTCAGATTTAATGAAAGTAATAACTTATGTAAGCCATACTCTGAGAATTTATAAAATACATCACTTGAATAGTAATTACAACATTTTATATATAATGTAGAGAAACATTTGAACAGTTATTTAACTATTAAATAGTAAGAAGAAGATAATCATGGCTCTGGGTTTTGAGTTTTCAAAAAAATGAAAGCCAAATATCATACTGATTTAGGGAGAACACATAAGAGAGTGCTGCTACATTGACCAGTTTATACTCTCCCAATCTAAACTCTTAGTCAATTTAGTAGCACTCACTTAAATGTTCTCTTTAAATTAGTTGATGTAGCAGTCCCTCCTTTACATGTTCACCTCAAAACAGTATGTCTGATCTGCTTTTTTTTGAAATCTTTAAACCATGTTTTGAGCCATGCTATCTTCTGCTTACCCTATTACATAACCATGTAAATGATTATATAATAATGACATAATTAAATTTAACAGTAACTAATAAACTATTAATAACATTAAATAACAAGACTGGCTATTAAATCACCTGGTGTACCCACAGACGTTGCAATAGCAGTTCCCCTTTGAACTTGAGCAACAAGAGTTGGTGCAATTATTGATGATGAGATAGTCGCAACTGTTTGAATTTTACTTACTGAAATACCAGAAACACTTTGATGACCTGATGTTAAAATTCTAGCTGCTGTGCCAATTGACGACTACAAAGCAAAAAACAAAATATATCAGCTTAATATCACAAATTTTATTACCACATTATAACAAGATAACAGTACAAATTCATTACACTTTTATAGCAATGTAACATCACTAATTATTATAGATTACCTCCTCTTATTACATAACATGATAAAAATGAAATAGTCAAATTTTAAAGCTAATCACTTGAGTAATTTAATGTTTTCTTTAAAATAAGACAAATTATACTTTAAAGCTTTAAAGAAGGAACAGAATGTCTTTAAAGAAGGAACAGAATGTCTTTGAAAAATATTTTCAAAATATATTTGAAAAAATTTACTCTTCGGTTTTATAATCATAATTTCTATTCAGGAGATTTAATTTTTAGTCTTTTTTAATACTTTTAGTATCAGGTTTAATTAAATCGACAATTCCATGTGAAAACATTCAAATTTTTTATATGCATTCTGAGACCGTAAGTGATTTTTACACTAAAGATTTTAATAAGCTATAAAATAAAATTGACTTTAGTTAACTTAATTGTTCCTTAAGTTGTTGCTGACTTGCTTTTTCTGTTTTCTTGGTCATTTTATAATATAAAAATTGTATTAAATTTTTATTACAACCAGGGCCAACGAAATGGGTTTTGAAGTAGAAGGGTACCATTGTCAATTTCTAAAAAAAGTCCCCTATATCTAGAACTTTCTAGATATGGGGGAGGGGGGGGGGTTATTATTCATTAAAACTAATTTTAATGAATAACAAACAGTTTTTTTTAATTGACCAATGGCCAACAATTGGTTGAGACATTTATTGGTAAAAAAATATCAATATTGAATTAAGTTGTTTACCATCACTATCTGCATTTCATTAATTTATCACTTTTCTGTTGAAATTATATTTAGAGTTGTAAAGGATGTTGAAAACAAAGGAGATTATGATTATAAAACATACTGGTCACTTGCACTCAAAATTTAGCATAATAAACTTGTTAAACTCTTTTAATTAATAGACTAATTATGTTTTTGTCCAGATAAAGGGAGATCGGAAAAGAAAGGAGAGGTAGAAGAAAGAGGGTATCAATAAACAGGATAGAAATTTTTATTTTTATTTTTATAAGCAAGTTTGTATTTTATAATTTTTAAGACCTAAACCGGTCTTAAAAATTAACAAATAATAATTGAAATTTTTTTTTTTAAGTTTTGAGACTTTTTTTTTTTTTGATATATTTTAAAAGGACTCCGGCTTTGTATCTATATTTTTTCCTGGTCTCTAGTGACCAGAAGCTCTGAACATGTTGGTTGACTTATGATATGCAAAAATAAAAATATTCAAAAAATAAAAATTTTAAGATTTAATGAGCTAATAGTTTTAAGGCCCAGAGTCCAAGAATCCTGCTATCCTGAGGATAGCAGGATTTGGACAGAGTCCAAGAATCCTTGCTGCTATTATATCTAAGGACTTCAAAAACTAAAAGCTTTAACTTCTTTCCCATCAGAAGTCCATAAGCTTTTTAAGACTTTTAGAACTCCTGAATACCAAAAACTAGGGAGAAGTAATCTTTTTGTGACTTTTGAACCAGAAACTTTTCTTTTTGGGACTCTGCATTCCTGAGAAAAATTTAATAAACAGGGAGAGGGGGTCTTAATAAGCTCAGGGTGGGTGGGAAAATTTTCTGAAAATTATTAAACATCAACTGTGTATTAAGCACATAAGAGTATTTATACTTTTTATAAGTAGCAAATTTAAGAAAATTTGACCATGTTTTTTTTTGTTATTGTTGAAAATAAGATCACTCTCAAGTTCTTTGTAACAACAAAGAACTGGAGAGTGATCTTGCACAACTCTCTTTTTTGGTAGTTTACGATGTGTTTTTTTTTCATGAACTAAATGATTGTAAAATTGAAAACAGAGGGTATGGCATTGGGACACAAATGCTGTATTTCACATCCAAGGCGTATTATAAAATCTTCTCTAATAAAATGCTCACTAGAGATATGATGTTATTTTAGGAACAAACTCATTTCAGTGCCACTAGCCTTAAAAAAGTTAAAAAAGATTTGTTTATTTTTAAATATTTAAAGTTGTTTTATTGAATAAATTTAACTAAATTTGCTAAAGCAAGTTTAAATTTTTATTATTATAAAACATTAATTACCTGGGTTGTCTAAAAAATGAGTCCAAATAAGTATGGAGTAGCATTTTTATTTTTTACTATTCAAAAACATGACCTTTTTTTTTTTTTTAACGCACACCAAAAAAATTGTAAAAAAATGTATTAAATGTATGTAAATTGTACATAATTAGACTAATAACTAATAATAAATGCAAAACAAAAAACATACTGGTGTCAGCTGACCTATGGAAACAGTATTTTGATTCAGGTTTTGCATTTTGCAACTAATTGTAGCATATGATGTAGAAGTTGTGTTTAATAAAACACTAGCACTCGAAACAACTGTTGGAACAATCAAAGTGTTGCCACCAACTAGTGATGTTGAAGTAAAAACCAAATTTCCTAATAAATAAATAATTTGAAATATATATAAACAATCAAACTAAATACCATATATAAATATCACATAAGCATATCAAACTAGATGCAACCCCTCTTAACAAAATAAATTCAATATACTAAGCTATTACAACAACTACATCTATCACTATAGTCTACATATATTAATTTAAATATATCATACCAACTATCTTGGCAACCCCATCTTTCTATCTTAAACAAAGTAACTTCATTTAAAGATTAACAAAGTTTTTCGAACACAAATTATTAAGTTAAACAGAAAACACATTTGAGAATATTCTCACGTTTTTAAAAAATACCCTACTTAATATTACTTTACAAACCTTCCAAGGCCATGTAGTTACTACTAAATTTACCATATTCTTACCACTGAATTTAATCTAAAGATGAGGTTAAGACATGCATCCCCTACCAACCAAAATATTTATTAAAAAAATTCCATTTCACCCTACAACACCCCTATAAATTATAAAACTTCATTATGTAACAAAATTGCTTTTTAGCACTAGTAAGGCGCAATTACTATTTAATCTAATTACCACACTTCTGGTAGTATTAGGCTCAACTTATTTCTCCCTGCAGTGACCTTACTTGTCAAGGAGCGCACTTTAGATTTTAAGATTTAGAAGAAGGTAGTAATTACCCTTTAAAAATAAACTTATTATTATTATATGGCCTCCTTAAATGAGGTAAGAATGTTAGAAGCATTTATTTGGTGGTAAAGTAATTTCTAGTACTTTTAATTTAATTGTTTTTTTTTTAATTCTGCTAAATAATTTTTAGCAAATTTGAAAAAAATTTCAAATAAACCTTTTAGATTTTTTTTTTTACTTGCGAAATAATATTTCAGACAAATATTATGCTTAAAATTTTGTCCAAAACTGGAAAAGCTTGCTCACTTGTAATTACTAGCTTTTTATTTTGAACATTTAGTTTAATCTAAGTATAACAATCAGGACTGATTTAAATAATGTTACAATTTTTGGCAGTTATAAACATCATTTCCAAATCTTTGGTTCTTGCAACTCTAATTAATAAGTATTTTAACTCAAGTCAAATAATAAGAGCTACTACTCTTATTAAGAAAACATTGTGAAACATAAAAATACAGACAACAGTTAACTCTTTCGAACCGAAACTGGTCGTAATAAATCAATAATTAAAAGTTTTTTTTAGCAGAGCCATTAATCAAAACTACTTGATTTTATGATTTAAAGGATAACTTTATGCTCAGTTTCAAAATTAGCCGTAATAAACTAACTTTCAAAGCTCCGTAATAGAAATAAGGGGTCCATAAATTACATTACGCTTTAGAGATAGGAGGAGGGGGGGGGGAGAAGGAGGAGGGAGAAGTTAGTGGTTTTATTGACAACTCATACGTAACTTGTTACTAAAGTGTTACGATGTTGTGACGAGGAAAGGGAGGGATCTCAATTAGTTTGATTTTGATTAAAAATTTTGTGTTTTTTTTTATTATAAATTTTTTTTTTTCAAAATTCACGTGATTATAATATCTGCTATCACTGATATTTTAATTTTTTTTTAAAGATTTATAATGTCTATGAGTTTATCTTTAAAAAAATCTACAGTTTTGGAACAAGCAAGTTTGATGTTTTTTATGGTACAAAACTGTTTTTTGTGGTATTATATTTAGTTTAATTTTTGTGGTCCTGGCTAATTTGTTGATAATTTTTGCTATCTTACAGATTTTTAAGTGCTTGAGCACTCTATTTTTTATCTATTTTCTTTACAGAATACACCACGAGTAGTTTACAGAATGCACCACTAGTAGTTTTAAGTCTTGATAAGTTTTATATTAACATTATTCAAGACATTATTATTTAAGACATAAAGCCAGATTTTTTTTTTTGTAAAAAAAAAATAAATAAAAAATTCGCAAAAGTCAAATGATCTTTGTATCCGCCATTATTAGTATTTCATTTTTTTTAAAACACAATCTCTGTTTATTTATCTTTTTGAAAATGTATAGTTATGGGGTGTAAACATGGTGCCTTTTATCCCTAATATATAACTTTTGGTATAGTATGTATATTTTTACTGTTTATAAATATTATATATAGGTGCGAAAGAGTTAAAGAACAAGAAGTTTTAGCACTTATCTCATTCCTTAGGCTGAAAACAATATTTTTCAAATGATTTATGAAGGTTAAAAATAAATTCAGAAACAAACAAAAAACTAACAAGACTGAGCAGTAACTTTAGCAAATATGACGAAATCAGTGTTAAAGTAATAATAAATTAGTTTTAAATTAAAGATTTATTTTATAAAACATTTATTGAATAAAAAATATTTAACATTTTTTAAAACACAAGCTGTTAAGTGTTTTTAAAATTGACCATTAATTTGAAAATATAAACAAACAAAAAAAAAAAATCAAACAGCTTTTAGTTTGCAATAGACAAATAACAAAGACAACAAATCAATAAATAAAAATCAATAAAAAATACCTCTTATATTTCCTGAATTGGATGCAACACCAACTGCAGTTACTTTTACCAAATGACCAACCTAAATTATATTTTAAAATAAACACCTTTCAAGCCAGTACTTTAAAAAACTGCAACTTTATTTCATAACAACATTGCATAAAAATTTATAAAAGAACTATTTGAAAATTGCAATATTTTCTCAAAAAAATTAATTAATTTAAATGATGTTTTTTAAATTGATGATGATTTATCTAAAATCAATAAAGTGCGCAAATTCTTATAAATTTTGTATGCGTTATAGATTTTATTTTTTAACACATTTTAAAAAACAGGTAAAATTAGAACCTCACCATGTCTCTAATAAACCAGTATTCAACTTGCAATATTTTTTTAAAGGGGGCCCTAGGCAGACATGGATGTGGAGGCTCCCCCCCCACCCACATGTATATATTTATTATCTTCGATTGCAACAAAAGTTTATTTTTTCAAATTAAATGATCGGATTATGTAAAAGCAAATAGCAAAAAAAAGTAACCCTATCAATTGTAGCAACCACATTGAGGTAAACAAAAATTATAACAATAAAACTCTTAATTCATTAGAATTGTTTTGAATAGAGTCAATATAAAACTGAAAATTTAAAAATAAATCCCTGAATATGTTAAAAATAAACTGCCTTGAGAATTTCAACAAAAACCAGCAAAATGTTAAAAAAACATATTGTGATTGATGCTTTATTTGTTGATGATGACACAAATACTGAAGATGCAATGAATTAAGCAAAAATATACTCAATAACATTTGTGGTTTGCATAATGACTTTGATTAGTGGTATGTTATCAGACAGTGACAAACCCAGAGTTTATTTGGGTATACTGCTTTTTTTTTTTGTGCGATGTTGAGATTACTGCCCCCTCCTTCTCCCCTAGTTAAAACTGCTGCCGCAACAATGATTTTTAATCATCAGTTTAACCATTTATGATTATCTATTTTAATTTTATCTGAAGATAAAAAGTTGATTTAAAGGCATTTCTTTGAATACATGAATTAACCTTTAACTTTAGCTACATTAAGAAAACTATTTTACTTGAGAACTTAACCACATTATTTGTAAATAATTATTGAAAATTGTTCAAAGTATTTTAAACATTTCTTAACAGTATTTTAGTAAATTTAATATTAGCAGTTATGATTGTTTTAAATATTTAGTAATTAAATGTTTAAATACTTTAAACAGTTTTTAATCAATATTTACATTACATAATATATCTACATATATTAGAAATCGCATATTTGTGAAATTAAAAAAATAGTTTTTTCTTCAATTCAAATAAATATTTGAATAAAAAACATAAACATTTAATAAACTTATTTACTATTATTTTAATTTTAAAAATTTAATTTAAATATCAGCAAATCTATTTATTTAACTTTTAATAAAGGGTAATAATTTTAAAAGTGATTTTATGGCGCAATTTAGATAAAAGATAATTAAAGAAGAGATAATTAAGGTAAACGTAATTTAAAAAATGATATAGTTTTTTTTTAATTAAAAAATATTGTATTTTAAAATGTTTTATTTATTTATTAATTCATAATTTAAAAAAATTACGTTTAATAAAAAAGTTACATTTACTATGGATTTTTTTAAACATTAATGACATTATTAAGGTCTTAAAGTATAAAAGATAAAACTTTTATTAAATTATTGTAATCGTTTGTTTTTAATATTAGTCAAAAAGAATATGGAAAAGAAACAAAACTTTCTGAAAAAGTTTACGCTTCGTTTTTTCATTTTCTTCATGTAAACTAAAGTAGAAAGCTAAAGTTCATTCATTCAAAATATAAATTTGTACAATAGTTATTAAGAATTTTTTAATTTTATTCATTTAATATCAAAAGCAGTTTACCCTTAAATGGCAACAAACTAAAGTTAATTTTACTATGAATGGATATTTTAAAATATGTTCCATTTTCCGAAAAAGTAAACATTTTATACATTCAATTGTTATAAAATTTTATAACAAGTTTTTAAAATTAAGTTTTGTAACAACATTCGTTTTTTTAAAACATTCAGTTAGTAACTGAAAGACGTCACATAATTACATGAAAAAAGCTATTGCTTTTTAAATCATTTTATTGTCCTGAAGAAGAAGAAAGTAGCTAAAATAAACTGAAAATTATTTATATATTATTGCATTTAAAACAGAAAAAAAATTTTTTACTTTTAATTAAAAAGCAAAAGAAAAATTAAAAGATAATCTAATTTTTGGGTGCCCATACCGCTCCAGCAGCACTAAAACAGATCTGGGTTCATCCTTGTCAGAATGATCATTTGTGATACAACTGCAGTAAACAGTGGATTTAAAGGTGCACCACCTTCAGTAGGCTTTAAAATCATCAAATAAGGATATTTTTATTATTCCACAATATTGGATGCCATTATAAACAGTAAATCTACATTTCTAGACATCAACTATTTTTTTATTGAAGAATTATTGACACACTACACCCTATTTTATCCACAGTAAGGGATGATGATATAAAAGTTTTATGAGAACTTAGACATTAATACAAATATTATATGGCACAAAGACATTTTGAAAAAAAAATGCATTTTAAAACCTCATCTGAGTAATGCCTGAACTCCAGAACCATATTAAAATTGGTTGCTTTCATTCTAATCCCACAGTACAAACCAATTATTTGAAACACAAGATAACAGAAACATGAACAAACATTTGGTTTTTGGAAAACACTTTTCCGAATATTATAAAACACATAAACTGCCAACAAAAAAACACAAAAATACAAATCAAAAGGTTCCCACTCTACACTATTTATAGAATTGATATGAACTAATGATTTCTTTAAAAAATTTTGTTAGACGTATAAATAACATATTTGATTTAAATTTTATTAAATCATAGGGAATAATAATAATAATAATAATAATAATAATGCATTACATATAAATGCATGTTTAGATTAGAATATATGGTTACTAGTTTTGCTTATCTTTATAGCATAAAGCTTTTTCAGAAAGAAAAAAAAAACAGAAAATAATGAAAGAAAAGATTGTTGCCTAATGCCAAACCCTCAGTCAATGTAGCAACACTCCTTGGCTGCAGCAGTCTAAAAGATAATTGATTTATGTACTGAAGCATTTTTTTAAAGCCCCTGGAAGCAAACTATTTCAGTGTGACATCACAGGGCTTATCTAAACACACATTTATTGCTCTATATATACACATATAAAAATGTTATAGGTTAGGCACCTATGTGTTAAACGAATTTCTATAATGCCATTTTTAATTTAAATATGATGTAACTGAAGTGATAAGACAATTTTTAAAACTGGGTACTGGGTCCTAGTGTAAACCTATTTACAGATAAAGACAGAGAGTTTTAACTGTCTACCATTAAGAAGAGTACTTTCCAAGGTTCTTCTAAAATAAAATTAAAAAACACAACAAAATTAAAATTAAATGTACAAATATTACTAACTGTTGATACTGAAGTTTGAGTAGTTCTAGTAGATAATGCAATTGATGATGGTATACTTGCCATAGAGGTTTGACTCAACTGTACCTGCTGTGCCTGTAATATAAACATAAAATTTTATATATTTAAAAGATCTTGAACTAGTAAAAAGAAAAATATAACTATTAAATCTTAAAATTAATTCTATAAAAAAAAATCATACCGCAAGAACTCTTGCTTTTTCTTTAGCAATACGTTCAGCTCTCATACTAGCAAGATCTTTTGGATTTAACGGTTTTTCAACAGATGACACTCCATTAGAAATAAAACTTTGAATAGTGCGTGTTCTAAGTCAATGCTTTAAAAATGTCAACTTGCACAAACATAACTATTAACTCATTATATATATATACATATATATATATATATATATATATATATATATATATATATATATATATATATATATATATATATATATATATATATATATATATATATATATATATATATATATATATATATATATATATATATATATATATATATATATATTGCACATTTAAACACAGTAAGAGAACTTAAATACACTAAAGAGTATATATTTTTAAATCCACTGTAGTAAGTTTTAAATTCTAATACACTCACGATTGCTTAATGACTGGTTTCCGTTTCAATGTTGCTTTTTTAATCTGATCGAATCTATTGTAATGCATACCAAATACACTTTTTCCATTGTCACTTGTGAACTGCGGATAAGTTTTTGGCTGAGGTTGAGGAGTGGGTGGAACCTAAACCATAAAACATTAAAAAAATAAAAAATAAATTAAAAAAATATTAAAAACCTGTTTTTAAAATAACAAATAGAAACTTGCTTTAGATAATGGCACAGGTGGTGACAATTTTTTATTTTTCTTTTGCTTTTGTTCATTTGTTTCATTTGTAATCATAAGCTATAAAACAAAAAAATTATTTAAAAATTATTATTTTTAAATTAAGAAAAAGCAAAAAATAGTTATTTTCCTCTCGAAAATCAGCGCTTTTAAACAAACCTTTTTGTATTTTTATATTGCTTTATTTTTTATTAAACTTTTGAGGCATTTTATTATATTTATTATAATAGCGTGTTAAAGATTTAGCTTGACTTAATTGAGTTCTTCACTTCTTCACTTAAATAAGTTCTGATGTCTAAGCTTTTCTATTCAAGTTAATGCAAGGAAATTGTATTTTCTTAATAAAATTTTCAAACTAAGTTGTTTTTTTTCTTCTTTCCTTTGACATCACCAAAAATAAAATAGAAAATCCATTTTTTTCTTTTCTTTTTTTTCTTAACCTTTCAAATGTTAATGAATTCTAATTATCAAACTATTATCAAAATCTCTAAAACTGTTACCTCATTTATCATCAGAATCCCCCTATCATCGTATATCTTACAACTACCTTAAAGCTGACTGGGACTCTTTCCATGATTTTCTTGGTGATGGCCCTTAGGTAGAAATTTTTTGTCTTCCTGTTGACAAATGTGCTTCTTACATAACTTCGTGGATTCAGGCTGGCATGGAATCCTTTATTCCCTCTCAACGATTCTAGGTCAAGTCTCAGTCTTCTCCATGGTTTTCCTCACACTGTGCTGCTGCAATTGCCAATCGAAACCATTACTTCCATATCTATCTGCAAAACAATTTCCCAGAAAACAGTCGTCTGTTTATTACTGCTAGGAACCATTGTCGGACTACACACATTTAATATATGTAATAAATAATCGTTTCAAGTCCGCTGTTCTCAGGCCATGAAACCTTGAATTTCATCACAAAAATTAGCCTCTTGTCACTTCTGGAGAGTCTTTAATAGTATTAATAATAAGGGCAAGTCTGTAATTCCACCTCTTTTGTATGGTTTAGACTTTGTCACCTCACCTAAATATAAAGCTGAATTGTTTGCTAAGAACTTTTAATCAATATCTACTAGTTGCGTTCAACCTGATATAGCCACCAAACAGGTTGATCCATTGCTTGACATTCATATCACTCCAGCTTCTGTATCTCAAGTGATTTCCTACTTAGACTCTCCTAAAGCTTATGGCCCAGACAACATACTTGTTAAAGTCTTGCAGAAGTGTTTTCCGAAGCTGTCATCTATCCTTTCAAAACTATTCAACAAGTGCTTATCAGAGTCTTGTTTTCCAGCCTGCTGGAAAGCAGCTTCTGTTATCCCTATTTTTAAAAATTCTGGAGAGCGATCTGATTCGTCAAACTACCATTCCATTAGTCTTCTTCCTATCATAAGCAAGGTTTTTGAATCTTTAATTAACAAACACTTAATCTCTCATCTTGAAACTAATAACTTACTTTCTGATCATCAATATGGATTTTGTGCTTCTCGTTCTACAGCTGATTTGCAAACAAGTAAGAACTGATAGACTTAATCATGCATTAAATAGACGCAGAGAGGTTAACGCTATTGCTCTTGAAATTCCTAAAGCTTTTGATAAAGTTTGGCATTCTGGCCTTTCCCATAATCTTTCTTCTTACGGTGTATCTGGAAACATCTTTAAGATTATTGAATCCCTCCTTTCCAATCATAGTATAACAGTTGTCCACGATGGACAGCACTTTCTTCTTATTCTGTAACCTCAGGGGTTCCTCAAGGTTCAATCCTTGGCCCTATACTCTTTTTTTATTTACATTAACAATCTCCCAGATATTCTCACATCTAAGGTGGCATTGTTCGCTGATGATACTACCATTTATTCTTGTCATGATAAGAAGCCTCTGATTACTTGGAAGGGGCATTTGAGCTTGAAAAGGATCTCACTTCTGCTAAAGCATGGGGCTCACAGTGGCTGGTGAACTTTAATTCAGATAAAACTCAATTTTTTTCTGCCAATCGTTATCGCGATAATTTAGACCTTCCTATATTTATGAACGGTAATGTACTCGATGAGTCATCTACCCTTCATCTTCTAGAATTAACTCTTACTTCTGATCTTTTTTGGAAACCATATATAAATTTGTTGCAAAATTAGCAAAATCTGCTATAGCTGCATCTCTTTATCGAGCTCGACACTTTCTTATTCTGGATTCTATTCTCTATCTTTAGAAATCTCAAATCCAACCTTCTATGGAATACTGTTGCTATATCTGGGGCGGATCTTCTAATGATGCACTTTCTCTTTTAGACAAGGTGCAAAAACGCATTGTAAACATAGTTGGACCTGCTCTTGCAGCCAACTTTCAACCATTATCACATCGTCGTAATGTTGCTTCTCTTTCTACAAATACTATAATGGGCACTGCTCTAAAGAGCTAGCGTCTTTTGTACTATCTATTATAATTCATTCTTGTGTTACTCGTCATTTAATTAAATCTCATCCTTTTTCTGTTACTGTTCCTAATTGCTCCAAAAACTCTTACTTGTCTAGTTTTTTTCCCTCGAACATCAGTTCTTTGGAATTTGCTTCCTTCATCTTGTTTTCCTGATTCATATAATTTACAATCTTTTAAGTCGTCCGTCAATCGTTATCTTGCTCTACAGTCTTCATCCTTTCTCTTCCAGTAACTTTCAACACTAATTAGTGGATGCTTGCAGCCTTGTTGGAAGCGAAGATGTTTATTAAATAAATTTCGAAATTAAAAACAATATTTTTAATTTCGAAATTAAAGATGATTTTTAAATATATTATACAAACTCGATGCAGTAAAATATTAGGCCAGATCAATGAATGATTAATAATGAATAATAAGATGTTCTGAAATGAAATAGCTCATATGGCCTAGATTTTTTAGACAAAAGATGTAATGACCTAAATTAACCTATTAGACATGTAATAACGATAAGATAATATTTAATACTTAAAATAGTATTAAATAATAATAACATAATTAAAATGTTAGGTTAGAAAAGTAGTAAATCAAATTTAAAATATTAGTTCTAGATTAATTACTTCTAGATAAATAATCTAAAGATTAATAGGCTAATTTAATAGTAGTAGTAGTAGTAGTAGTAGTAGTAGTAGTAGTAGTAGTAGTAGTAGTAGTAGTAGTAGTAGTATTGCTTCACTTTTGTTCTTAAAGTAGTTTTAATTAGTTACTAGGCTTTTCTGAACATGAAAAGCGCGTTTTCATGTTCATGAAAAGCGCGTTTTCAAAGAGCAACTAAGCACGTTAAAACTTTATACTTTTTTGAATTTAACTATTACTTATTAGTTTAAAAATATTAGTTAAATTATAAAAAAAAGTATAGAAAATAGTTTAGCAAACTATATTACATTTTTATTAGATAAAAAGTAGAAACTCTTTTTACTTTTTAAAATCGTTTATATTTTGTTTGTATTAGCTTCTCTTTTATCTTTATTTATGGCTTTTTTTTGGCAGTTTTGTTTTTATTGAGCTTATTTTTAACTTTTTAAAAATTAAGTAGGGGTATGGATGAGGCCTAACAATTTTTTATGCACTTTTTTGCTCTAAAAGAGTTATTCTATTACTTTATCATAAAATTGTTTATTACTACTTTTAAATTTATTTATTTAAAAAAAAAAAGTTTTAAGAAGTACTAAATTAATATAATTCAATATAATTAATAAAATAATTTCTTGCTTATTTTATTATGCTGATTATAACTTTATTGACATTTCTGTAATGCAATTACCAATTTTTTATTCTTTTTTTGAAATTTTAGAAAAATAAACTAAAGTTTTGAGCCAACACAGACATTTTGTTGTTTGTAAAAAATTTTGTTATGAGGACTGCAGTTTCTATATAAGTTTTTTTGTTCTTTATTCAATAAGTATTTGATTTAAATTAAATACGATTATTATTTGATATTTTTTAAATTATGTCATGTCGTTTTTAAATTTTTTGTTTGCAATTATACAAGTTATACATGTTTATAGTTTGCATATATGTTAATATATTATGTTCAAAGTTAAAAAGTATGACTAAGTGGATAGAATTTCTGAACAAGTAAGCTGTGATTCAATTCCTATCACTGGTGACTTTTTTTTAAATTTACTTTGATTATTTTAAAATACAAAATACTTTTCAGTTTTATAGAGATTATATACAAACATATGTAATGATATTATACACTTTTACAAACAAAAAGATTTTAAGAAAGCTAAAATTTCATAAAACATCAAAAAAACATCATCAGGAGAAAAAATTTGTTGTGTATGTGTCATGATTAAGATACTTATGTTATTAATGAGCTCATGTAACTAGTCCTAATAAACTGCGGATGGTCTGAAAAAAAAGTTGTTCGAAACTTTAAAAGAAAAAACTTAATAAGAAAGTCCTGCTGCTCAGGAAGTTGCTACTGTGGAGGCAAAAAAAAATAAATAAATAAATAAAAAACCTGTGGCTAAAACTTTAAAACTTTCTTTTGACAATTAAAAGTTTATTTGCTACATTTACTTTTTTACTATAAATATATACTATAACTGTTTTTCAAAACGCCTTAATATGCTTATTATGTATTTCAAGAAAAACGCAATTAAAAAAAATTGTTAGGAGAAACTCTTTATAAAACGTTTTTTAAAACGAATAATTTTTATGAATTTTTTCAGAACTCTTGAAAAATATGTATTCAATAATGTTTGTAGACATCTCAACTAGCTTATTTTGTAAAAAAAGTCAAAATTGATTTTTTTTTTACTTCCAGGCTCAGGCATTTTGAAAAACGGCTACAGTATAGATGATACAATAAATCTGTTGAAATTAAATGATTTTACGCAAAATTTAAAAGCTTCTCACAAAAGCCATTAAACCAAAAAAATTAAAAGTAATTTCAGTTCAGTGCTCTTAAAAACTATAAGTATAATGTATTGGTGTTTGCAAAGAAACACTATATAAATCATTTTTTAATTTTAATATAAACTAATTTTCTTTTTAAACTTTGTTGCGCCTAATCATCCCTATATAAACAAGAAAAACATACTAAAAAAAAAGTCTTATTTAAATTTTTTAAAAAAACTTCTATTTAATTTAAATATAAAATATTAAATATAAAATTTAAACTTCTATTAAATATATTTTTATGAAATATATTCTAATAAAGACAAAAACTATTTATTACTACTGTAACAATTACAATCTCTTATCTGTGAAATGATGTCTGTACCAGTTTAATATTATTCTTTAGTTTGTAATCATAATCATAAAAATGAACTTTTTTTTTATGACTATGTTTTAGTGGTCTAAGATCTTCTTAGTTCCATTTGTATAGCGTTACGTGCAAATGTCTGTAAGATTAAGCGTCTTTAGCATATGTTGAGTTTGCAGGCGCGTATAATATATATATCGCATATAATATATATATATTATATGCGATATATATATATATATATATATATATATATATATATATATATATATATATATATATATATATATATATATATATATATATATATAATGAGAAAACGTTTTGCTATAAATATATAAGCAAGATTTAAAAAATTTCAAAATTTATTACGCAAAAAGGAGGTCTTAAACTCCCCAAAACAACACTGATGACAGCACACTTAACCACTGAGCTATCAATGAAATGCATTTAAAAGGAAAAAAAAACCTAATTATAAGTCTCTTATAAGCTCTACATATGCGGAAAAGGTGCACATGTTAATTTTTTTGCTCTTAAAGTTTTTTTTAATAAAATGTATTGAAGTAAATAAGGAATAGGTATAGAAATAATTGGTGTGGAATAGGTATGTATAGAAATGGTAGGTTTGGTAAAGACCCATATTTTACCAATTAGAAAAGCTAGGATATACAGGGGTGGGACCGCAAAATGTGAACGTTTTTGTTTTATTATAACTATTTTCTTGTTAGATGTAGTTGTACTCTCTCACTCATCAGAAAGTGTCTAAAGAGTTGTTAAATATGAACTATTTTAAATAAGAATGTCCAACCATTGGACATTCTTATTTAAAATAGTTCATATTTAACAGAAAGTTAATTATTACAATCAGAAAAGTGTTCACATTTTGCGTCCCACCCCTGTATAAGGAAAAAGTATAAAAAAGTTCAGTTTGGAATAGACTTAAAAAGACCCGTATTTTTATGGGTCCGATCTCAGCTAGTATTAATAACTAGTCCAGTCAACATTTAAAGTTCAATATTGCATATGTCATTTTTAAGCATTCTTAAGAACTAGGCAACTTAGCTAAGCAAGTTTTGTTTTATTTTTTAGTGTTAATTTGAGTAAGTTTAATATTATGTTTTATTTTACATTAGATATATATTATATATATATATACATATATATATATATATATATATATATATATATATATATATATATATATATATATATATATATATATATATATATATATATATATATATATATATATATGTATATTTAAAATGGAAAAATATATATATTATCTTTAAGAAAAAATAACAAAGAAAATAAAAAATTAATCAATTCCTGCTGGAAGTAATTGAAAAAAATGGTGCTTATCCATATTTCATTGTTTAAAGTGTTTATGCTTCTTTTTAAAGGTATTGTGTGTGTATATATATATATATATATATACAAACACACACACACATATATATACATACACACACACACACACACACACACATATATATATATATATATATATATATATATATATATATATATATATATATATACATATATATATATATATATATATATATATATATATATATATATATATATATATATATATATATATATATATATATATATATATATATATATATATATATATATATATATATATATCACTTTAGAGTAACATATAATATATAAAATAAAAGTAAAATAAAGTAAAATATAAAATATAAATTCTGACTGACATTGCTTTATTTTTTATGCAAAATTCTGCATTTATTATTTTTGTGCATTAAGATTGTGCATGAAGGTAAAAATAGTTTTGTACATTTTAATCTAGATTTTTTGTTAAATTAAAAATAATGTTAAAAAAATGTTGTTTTATATTTTTAATAAATGACTTATGTATATAAACTTATAAAAAGATATGCAACAAATCTTATGTCGATAAATAATAAGATAATATATAGTCTTTGATTATAAAAGATCACAATTCATAAAATTCTTTTACATTCATTTATTATTCAGTTTTGACAGTAGTATTACCGGTAATATGTTTTATGATAACAGTGAAATCAAAATAGATTATATTAGGCTTAAAGAAGTTATAAGTGTAAATGGTAATAGGTGAGTTGAAAATAATTGTTTTCAAACGAAAGAGATAGGCATGATGAAATTAATTGTCATTAAAATGTAAGAAACTCGGCTCGACAAGCAGAAATCTTACTTGCCAGAATTCAGTGTCAAGTGGTGTTAATGTCTGTTGATTTTACATTAGACGCTTTAGAAAGAAAAGTATGAATTTTACTATTTATAGTAACACTTAATAACAGTTTTAAATTTAAATGATTTTAAATTTTTTTATAATTTCAAAAATTATTATGTTCTTTTTTTTTTTTCAGTTGCCTTTGTCATCACTTGATTATTTTGCTTACTGTTGAAAAATGGTTTTAATTATGGAAATTTAATAAATGAAGTTTACTCTATCATTAGTCAACAGTTGGAGAGAAGCAAGAACTTAATTAAGAAATAAAAATGAGAAGCTAAAACTTAATTAAGAATTGAAAATTAATTTTTAGTTAAGATAAAAATCATTTTGTTTACTTGTAAAGTAAAAAAAATGTTTACTTTACAAGTACTAGCAACTTGTAAATATATTTCTTATACATGGTCATTATCAATTGTGTTATTAAGAAATAAGAGCTCAGTAATTGCATAAATTTTATCAATTCTCCCTGTACTAATTCTCATTTAAGTCTCATCTAAAAGAGAAAGAGAGAGCGAAAATAAGAGTGTTTTCGAAGCAGCATGTTAAAAAAAGTAAAAAAGACATGCAATAAATAATAGTAAGAATCAACTAGTAATAAGTTATAGAATTTTATGTTCATTTAAAAAGTTAGAGAATAAAACTTCCACATGTTTACCTTTCCTTCTTCTCTTGGAACAATTACATTTTGATAACGATCTCGGCACTAAAAATAAAAATAAAAAACAGCTCACTACAAATGAAACTTTCTCAGTACTTTTTATTATATATGTGTATCTGTGCATGTATGTTGATATATATATATATATATATATATATATATATATATATATATATATATATATATATATATATATATATATATATATATATATATATATACACAGTATTGGCCAAAAGTTTGAATCCACCTCTGAATTTGAATACACAAAAACACAAAATATACAGCACAAATAGATTAAAAGTATGAGTCAAGCAATTTTTCTAACAATCAATAGTATAACAATATAAACAAATTACAAATAAACAATGCAAAAAATTTTCAGTTTTAGCCAAAAATTGAGGTGGATTCAAACTTTTGGCCAATACTGTATATATATATATATATATATATATATATATATATATATATATATCAGTAGCTAGAGCAGGTCCAATAACATTTACACTGAGATTTTGGACCTTGTCAAAAAGAAGGAGTCTCATAAAAAAAACTAGCCTAAATATGACAAAACTCCATACAAAAATAAATAAGAGATTTATAGAGATCAATAATGGAATCAGAAAAATAAAAAAATGGCAAGCATGATAAAGAAGGCATTCTTAGTAGATGAGTAAATGTCAATTGACAGAGAAATTTTTATGTGTAACCATATGTAAAATGTAACCATATATAAAATGTAACCATATATCTCAGATTTGGCTAATTTTTATACAGTTGATATTACTTAGTAAAATAAGAATTCCTGTAAAATGTTAGCATTCATCTCCAAGAAGATCCTGAAATATAATCATTTTGCTTATAGCAGATTTTTTTCTTAATGATAGTTCACTTTCCCAAGGTCAAGAAGTTTACTACAGTCAAGGAGGCTACTTTAGTTGAGGTTACAGCCCTCTCTTAACTCTATAACTTCAAAACAAGAGCCCCAACAAACAAGACCAAGTTAAGCGTAGTACTACCAGGGACGTGGTGGGAATTAAACTCAGAATTTCTTTTATTGGCTTATGGGGTGAGTGATATTAGTAGATATTGGCTAGGCCCCTCATGTCCCCTCAGAATTGCGACGTTTAGAGGTTTTAAGTCACAAAATTTTAAGTCTTTTTAAATGTTTAGAGGTTTTAAGTCACAAAATTTTAAGTCTTTTTAAATATGATAAATTTTATTAGATTGGTATGATAAATGAAATTGACAATATTCAGAAAGATGTTATGGTAACATTTAAACACCCGCACATTCCTTTTCTTGCTACCTAGAACAGATGAGGGTTAGGTTTCAATTACCAACATATTTGTATCATTGATGCACCTGTAACAACTGGACATATGTAAACTTTGACCTTTGATGCAAAGCAAATCTTAACACAATCTTGACACATTTTTTTGTATTTTATTTTGTAAATGATTAAATAAAATGGAACAAATGTAAACTGAATATGAAATAGAAAAAATTGATTTGACATTCGATTAATATTTGAAATCGAAGAAATCAACAATGTTTTTAAAGTTATCTTTATTTTGTTAAAAATGAAAAAAACTACTCAAATGCTGAAAGTTTCAGAGCTCCAGTTCGTCTGGAAAGAAGTAAAAATTCTATCACATGATTCCGCTACAAAACAGTGGGGCACATGCCCTAGCTCCCTCAGGTGTCTTGGGGCCTGGAAAAATTTTATTACATACGTTCATTGCAACAACACAAATACTGAAAATTTAGGAGCTCTAACTAGCCTGGAAGTGAAAAATCAATCACAATATTCTGCTACAAAAAAGTGAGGACTGTGCCCCATAACCTATGTATGAAAATCCATATACTTGCAGATCAAAATCCTTATGTTTTCTGAAAAGCCAACAAATATAGAATGTGTAAAACGTTTTTTGAAATCATCAAGGCCACATGGGTTTCTTGAGCATTAAAAACAGGTATATGAAAAAGTGCCTTAACTTATTTAAATCGGTAATAACAGGTACTTGATAATAATTTTTTACATTTCTAATTATTTTATTGGATTTGTCACCCCTGAAAATAGTTAGGTACAAACTTTTAAGCAAAAAGATTAAATATTTTTAAAGTTATGTGGCTTGAAATCTCTAAATAAATGTCATAATTCTGAGGGGACAGGAGGGGCCTGATAATATATACTAAAAGTAAAATGGTCATATTTCAGGATCTTCTTGGAGCTAGAGGCTAAGTCAGGGCTGTTTCATGCAATGTAAAATTGGGCATTACATCACTAGTTTAACAAAAACAATTTCTGCATAAAAAGTTTTTCAAAAATTTCGACATATAAAGTATAAAAATTCAATAACTTTAAAGTAATAGTTTTTTTTCTTCTATAAACGCTTTTGTGTTCTAATAAAAAAAAAAAATGAAACGTTTATCTTTCCTTGTTAAATAAATATTTTCATTAAACGGAATAAAAATAAAAGTTGTAAAAATATTGCTAATGATTTGGGATCACTTTTCTGTTTTTTGCGTATTTTACGAAAAACCTGTTTTGGGCCAATCAAGATTTGATATTTTAAGCTACATGCTTGATGGTTGAAATTTTACAAACTTATAAACGAATGTCAATTTTATCAGATCTTCGTAGGGCATAGATAAAAAAAATAGTTTAAGTTAGTTTTTTTAGCATTATTATTTTTGTTTTTATTTGTTTTATATGAAAAACGTTAAATTTTTGTTATGCCCTCCAAATTATTGAAATTTCAACCCTTTATGCACATGAAAATCAAAAAAATTACTTTCTGTACTAGCTAAAACTTCATCAACCTTGACATGTTTAGCAACAAAATTTGTAGTTACATGCGTAAAATTTTTGTTTATATTTAAAAGCAATGACGTAATTTTAAATGCGTTACTTCCCAATTCACTATGTAATTAAATTTATTAAAACAGCTTTTTTAGAGAGACAAATTTTAATGTATAAATAAAACAAACTTTGGTGGTTTTTTCTCTCGTGGCTAATCTACAAACATCAGATAAGTTGTTTAATCTTCTGATTTCTATTGCATACTTGTTATTTGTCAATAATTATTATTTGATTTTATTTGTTTGTATTATATTTTTATTGAGAAGTTTATTAATCACTATGCATTCTAGTGAAAGGGAGATATTAATACTATATATTGGATGGGAAAATGGCTGGGAAAATGAATGTAACTTTTCTTTTATTATGCGATTAATGAACACTGATAAAATCACTAACAACGTGATTTCAATTTTACTTAAAGTCTTTCCATCTAAAACATTGTTTAGTTTTATAAGTTTTATTAAGCCAATTGAATTTAATTTGCCTATTATTGGAGACTATAAAAATTTATGAAGCTTCTAAAAACGAAGCATTTTTTAATATGTAACTGTCTCCAGCTTCACAAACCAAAAAAAAAAAAAAAAAAATCAGCAGATGCAGATTATTTTTCAATTTCAAATAGGAATAAGGAACTAAGTAGTCAAGTTAACCAATTAACTTCTAAAGAAGAAACTTATGTGGAGCAAATAAATAAATTAAAAATGCAGGTAATAAAGGAAACTGAAATTACAGATTTAGAATCTAAAAACAAGACTCTTGACACACATTGTAACTCATTAAATTCTTAAGTAGAAACTATGAGTATTAGGCTAGGAGAGCAGGAGCAGTTGCAACTTATTTTAAAAAGTCAACTTAAAACAGCACATCATAAATTTGCATCTGCTCGTAGCTGTAATTAAAAAGTTCTAAAAAAAAAAAATTCCAAAAGAAAGCGTAAAAGTTAATGTAAACCAGAGCAGTTTTGCTGCCAAATTTGCAAATGTTTGATTAGCGGTAAGAACTTAATTGTTGTGGATTCATATTTAGACTATTGGTTCTTCTGAATTGTTTTCTGGGTTTGAGTGGATTAAACCACATAATTTATCAGTTGATAGCCCAATAGTTGTTCAAAAACATATTTATATTAAGTTAAGCTGTGCTAAACGATATTCGAAGTTAAGTAGGCATAGTGCAGCTAGGCTATTTAAAGTTGCTGTTATATTCCTTCAACTGTTAGCTGGTTCAGTCTTGTCTGAACCAGATAACAATTGAAGGAATATAAAGACTGTCCTGTCTTGTGAAATGTCAATATTCAGGCTTGGTCGGGAAGCGGGAGCAATCGCTCTCGATTGCTAATCACGAAAATAATATTTAGTTGCGAAAAGCTGGCCAGATTTTTTAATCGTTTTGAGAACATTTTAAAAAGCAAAAAAAATGTGCAAAAGATTAATTAGACCGATAAGAGACAATAACAAAAAAAAAAAAAATTAAAAATTAAAAAAATATCTTTTAACGCAAAAAAACTTGAAGCAAAATAAATTACGTTTAGAACAAATATTTTCGAAACATCGATTTTTTATAATTTTTTTTATAAAATTAAGCAAGGTTTTTTATATAAAGTATTATCTTATGATTGTTTAAAAAGGAAACAAATGTTCTTTGTTTAGCAAAGTTTGCAAGTTTTAGTTTTATCTAAGCTAAATTATCTTATAAATAAAAAAAGTTAATTTTTTTAAAACCTATTTTATGTTTCGCGTAGTTTGAAAGGTTTTACATATTTGAAACAATTCTTCTTAGTAAGATAGACAGATAAAATAATTAAATCATTGAATTTATAATAGAAATTAAATTAACTGGATAGAGATCAATTAAAAAGGCTAAAAATACTTTATGACGAGGAAGCGAAACTGCTTAACAATATCACTGATAATGTTTAGCAAGTGGGTTTTTTAATTTTAATTAGTATTTTACGGCTTTGCAAATGTGGCTCCGAGAATGAGCCATAGTATTGATAATATATTCTTAAAACAATATATGCTAGAAATCTCAAAACATAACAAATTGTGAATAATACAATTTTTAAAACATTTCAACAGAATACTCTAGAACTTTATTTCGTTTAGTCAGTGTATTTTTTGAACCAATAGAATTAGTTTATTCGTTAATTTGGCAGGTTTTAAGTGTTTGCAAATATTCTTTTTATTCTTCCGCACCAAGATATTTTGAAAACATTCAAGTTTTTTATGTTTCCATGTATGTCTGTAAAACAAAATTTTTTTGTTTCGTACATAAACTTAAATGTTCTCAAAACAAAAAACCTGGCCAGTTTTTCGCAACTAAATATAATTTCCATGTTCAGTATTTAAGAGCGATCGCTCACGCTTCCTGACCAAGTCTGAATATTGCATTGTGTTGGAAATAAATTAGGCTTTGTTTCACAGTTGAGCGTTTCAGATGCTGTAGAGCTTCAGAGCCAATTAAGGATGCCCACGGCTGAATTCCATAAGCTTAGGCGTATTCTGTGTAATATTGGTGCAAGGATTCTCCCATCTGAGCCCAAAATTAGACAAGAACAAGAAAGGCGGACAATGCATGTCGATAAAGATCATGTTGCTTTATCCATCTGCGAATGAAGCCCCTTGTTTAGTACATGTATTAATGGTTAAGAGTTTGACAACTTATATTGAGGTTTACAACAATCTTCAAATTCGAGACCACCTTAACATTGATCTCGGTTTTGAAAATGAGATATGACTACTTTGAAGTTGTCAATTCTAAATCATCTAGGTCTATGTATGATGTTCATTTGTTTTGTATGTACCAGGGTTCAGACTGTGGTGAGAATATTGCCTTAATTCTTAGGCCAATGACATTAAAAGAATTCAGTTGTCCCAATTCACACTAAAAGGCAAAAAAACTAAGTTGCTCTTAGGTGGAGATTTTCATTTCATCGATGATGTTCTGGGACACCAGGGTTCAGCTGCTAGCTTTCCTAGTTCTACAGACCTATTTGAATTAAATTCTCTAAGAAGCCATGCCTCTATGTCTCACACACTGCTAATTGTAGCATAAAAGGAGAACAATAAAATCTCTAGAAGGTGCTTACAATGAGAATTTGTGTGAAAATAGACAAGGTGGAAACCTAAGAGCTTTAGGTAAGTTTCATCATTCAGTTGTTTCTCCTGTGACCTGTTGTGAAACCTAAGAGCTCTAGGTAAGTTTTCTGTGACCTGTTGGAAACCTAAGAGCTCTAGGTAAGTTTCATCATTCAGTTGTTTCTCCTGTTCCCCATAACATCTTTAGATAATGTAGTGCCTCCTGTTTAGCATATTAAGTTAGGAGTAGTGTTAAAACTCTATAAATTGTTATTGAAGGAATGTAAAACTTTAGATTTAAATTTTGATTCATCTTTATCTAATGATGATGCTGTGAAAACAAGTGAAATGTGGGCCGCTAAAAGCGTTGAATTTTCTAAAACAACAGCAGCCTTGCATTTAATCAGGAAACAGTTTGTAGACATAGTAAATCTACAGGCTCGATGGATAGCCAGTAATAAAAATGATTTTTCTGAATTAGAATCCATATCGCTAAACTCCTCCAATAAAAAAATCAGTATTAAAAAGCCAGAAATTTGTGCTAGCTTTAGGTGTTTAATTACAAAATATGATTCTAACATTGATTGGGTGCAGTGTGGTACGTGTCAAAAGTGGTTTAATCAATATTGTGAATTTATTGGTGATTCTGAAAAGAGTGTATTGTGTGACAAAAAATTATGCATGTTTAGCTTGTCAGGGTGAAGATATAGATCTTCATCTGTATATCTCAGAAAAAATTTAGTATACACAAGTATACACGATTGCAGATTAAATGCGAGGATCTTGAGAAAAAATCAAGAAGCAACATGGACGCTCATGAGAAGGCTCTTCTGCAGGCCCTAGATGATATGAATATTCAGCGGCAAGCTTACCATGGTAATGTATTTGTTGGTAACCATTGCAAAATAGTTTTAAGAAACCACTTAAAACTTTGTAGTGTTATTGATGATGCGGCAATTAGAAATAAGTTATTGCGTGTGTTCAGCGTTTTTAATAAGTTGCAGCCGATTCTTTTTAAACGAAAGTTTCTTTCCGATGTCGAAATTATTGAGCTATGTCAATATAAAGATTTATTTGCTTGTGAATTTCATGCATGCTTTCCTAATAAAAGTATTACGTGAAAAATACATGAACTCACTTTTAATGTTCCACTATTTGTTAAATCGCATAAAACTATTAGATTGCTGAATGAAGGAGAGAGTTTGCATGGTGGTGTTAATCAGGAATTAAGATAGTTGCATTCAGTAAGGAATCAGGAACAGAAGCTGCGTCTTGTTTTAAAATGCTTTGAATTGCACAGCAAAGCTAGTAGAAAGCTTTAAGCTGCTAAAGTAAGAAAGTGCGTTATGTGTTCAGAGCATGGCGAAAAATCGTTTTATAGAAAAGGTTTTTGTCTTATTTGTGGCCATCAAGTTCAATTATAATATTAAAAAACTAATTGTATTTAATTAACATTCCATTCTTATCTTTAGAAATTAATTCGAATATGCTTCAACAGTTATGTAAGCATTACAGTTTCAGTCGTCATAAAGAATTTTGTCTTTCCGGTGAAAAAATGGGATACAATATAGTTCTAACTGCGTGTACAAAGAGTGTTTATACTACCTTAGGAACAAATCATTGGACCAACTGATAACTAAAAAAATTTCTTGCTTATTAGAATCCACAAAATAAATGATTCTAAGCCTCTACAGTTACACAACAGTTTGTTTCAGTCTGATCATAAAGAAAATTTTTATTCATGAATAAACGACAACTAATACGAACCATCATAAATTATTGGATGGGACATCATTAGTTAAACTTTTCTCCAGAAGAAGCATGAAGCACCAATATTTAACATCAGAAGTCAGTAAGATTATGAAGAGTATTTTCCATATGAAATGGAAGTAAAACTAGTATCAATTGCATGCAAAGATCGTTTGCTACTTATAGAACATATATAAATATATTAACTTAAAAAAAACTATTTATGTCAATCCATCAAAACAAGTTATCAAATTATTTAAATTGCCTATATTATGTATATTAATAAAAAATGTGTTATTTTTCTTTAGAAAAGTATTAATATTGTAATATTGATCTAAGTGTCAGGAAATTATTATACGACCAAAAGCAAAAATAATTCGAAACTCTTTTTGTTTGTTCTTTTTTTTAAAAAAAATCTTTAAAAAAAAAAAATATTTTGTGATTTTTTTATTTCGCCTATTGTAGTGCCTGTATCAGTTCGCATGCGGTGTAAATAATGTTGATATGTTTTATAATTGGTCTAACTATGTTTATATTACATATAAGTCAACAGTAATATAATTGTTCTGATTATTTTTGCTAAAAAGTACCATTAAAATTTCGAAATTCTGCCAAGTTGGTCATTCTGTGCGTTTATTTAAAAATCAGAGTAGCCTTGGATTTTTATATTGAATGATAAAATATAAAACATTTAGCCGGTGTTCATTTTTTTTTTACAGAACATATTTATCTTTAATATTTCAAAGGTTATGAAAGTTTTAGTAACACCCTTCAAGTAAATATTTTCAAAAAATAACAAGAAGCCGTATATCCACTCTGAAACAGCCGTGAAGTAGTCTAAAATAAGTACATGCAACTGTATAAAAATCAGTATGTATTTCCTGGTTACATTTCCTGGGTCAATTGACATGGAATTACCCAGATGCTAACTTTGACTTTGATTTGTTATTGACAAAATTAAATAGAATTTTTTTTTTGAAATGTTGAAAAAAAAAAGGAAAGACAAACTCAAAAAGAAAGTTTTCACCTTTAGAGAGTCCAATTATCAAGCCCAACAAAAAATTTTGCTTAGATGTGTATAAACCTGCTATTTCTTTGAACATGGCTGACTGAAATGAATGTGTTTCAAAATAAAAAGTCAACAGGAGACTAAAAATCTCCATAGCATATTGTTGCCACATTCCATATATATTTGGAAGGTGGAAGGAAATGGTAATAGAAATAAATCTCAAATTAAAGAAACATTTTATAAACCAATTTTAAGTTACCAATTTAAATTTAAAAGTTCAAATCTTTTTTAGTTTTAACTATGTTTTTATAAGTTTTAAATTCTCAATAAATAACATCATAATAAAAATGTTTAAATATGTCAATGAAACGTCAATATTAATATTTGTCAAACATTAATGTTTATCAACATTAATATTTATCAAATATTAATTTTGATTTAGATAAAATTTAATAAACCTGTCTGGAGGAGCGATATAAATTATTTGTACAATTCACCAAATCTGCAGCTAATTCCCAGTTTACTGATCGACTTTGTATAATCTCATTTGTTATTCCAACAGGAAGCTCTGACAATATATTAACTGTCTAAAAAAAATAATAATTCTATAAATTAAGGCAAATAAAAACTTGATTGTCAAACTTTTAAAAAACTAAATAACAAATCTGCCTGTAATAAAGTCCAATCTTCATTAATTAACCAATCAGGTCCACGCTAAAAACAAAATACCATTAAAAAGTATATTTACAGATACAAAAATATTAACTTGAAACTTGCATAAATTGGGTTTATGAGTTATGAAGTTGGGCTGGAACAATAAAATGAATATGAAGTTTTTGATTATGGTTAAACTATCCTTTAAAACAAAATTATTTAAAAAATATATATACAGTAAAATAAATTTTTTTTCTTTGTCACACACAAAAGTAATTATATTTGCTAGAGAGATTTTTTTTTTTTTTGCACATTTCTCTACAACTAACTTATGTCAGTAACAAATTCTCTTTGTTACATTTTTTTATTTATTTAGTTTTCTTAAAAAAATATAAAAAAACATACTTAAAAAACTCTGTAAAAAAACACACACAAACTTAACATTATTTATAAATAATAACTAATACATTAACTCCATTTGACTTTCATATATTTTTTAATTTATATTTCCTATCATTTTATTAACTAATGTTATGTTGACAATATCATATTCAAGGTTGCATAAAATTGATTATTACTGAATTATAAATAATATATTTTATTTTAAAATATAAAAATTGCAAGGTGTTGTACGCATTAAGATTTATAACTAATCATCTTATTTAGTTATTAGATTTAATATTCAATAAATAAATGTTAATGACCATTAATAGTAATAAAGTAGTCTGTGGTCACATTGTTGATAAAAAAACAAAACAAATAAATTTGTTGTTTATAATTTTATTTTATTTATTACTTAATTTAGATTATTGCAACTCTAGACATGCTGATTGGTCAAAACAAATGGTGGCAGTTTAGTAAGATATAGCACTTGCCCACCCAGTTTGCACAGTCAAAGCACTTATAAAAAAGGTAGATTTATGTGTCAGCTTAATTGCCAAAATTTAAACCCAAATATATCTATTTGAGCTTTGATAGGCAATCAATTAGTCAAGATCCAAACAAGGCCATAAATGGCCTGAATCAAGAACTAAATACTATTTTACTAACTTTTATAATTTAGATTAATATAAAATTTGTTAATTTATTAAACAATTATTAGAAGTAATATGTTATCTTATGTAAAAGCATTTTGTGTAACTTTAAATGATTTATTTCAAACGTAATAAAACACGAAATAAAACAATTTTCACTTCAAGCTTGAATTTTTTGAGGTTTATTTTAGTCCTTATTATTATTTCTTTTTTCATTTTTCTTGAGAAATTATTATCTTTTTTCTTGAGAAATTATTACCAGCCCAAGCTTACAAATAGATTGAAATGGAAGCAGATCAGAATTTTTGGGAGGATAGAGATGAATATAAACAGGCTGCAGAAACAGTTAAGTCTCTTAAAGTTGTCAATGACTATACTGAATACGAAGTCGTTTATTAAGGAATACAGTGGAATTTAATCCACAATTAAATACAATTAGAATTCCTGCTGCAAAATGTTGAGGAAAATGTACCCTTGCAACAGGTAACAGACTCTGTTCAAACAGCCGTGTAATTAAACTAGAACCTCTGTCAATCAACTGAACAATCGATTCATAATTAATGAGTTCAAAAATAAATTGGGTCTTGTTTAAAACAAAAATTTTTATGTTTTTGTATTTTATAAGCTCCACCCTATTTAAATTCTATTAAAGACAATTAAATTCATCAATCAATGAATTTTCATAATTTTCACAATTTTGAAGTCACTTGACCCCTAAACATAGTAGTTATATAGGAGAAGACTTTCTCTACTGTGTTTTTATATCAAGATAAATCATTTTATCATGATTCTTCACTATCTAGTTTCCATTTCTAAGCATAAAATTAACATTGCAGTTTTGCATATATTTTTTAATTGTTGTTATAAAAATACGTGGTTTAACCATAGAAAAAACATTTTTATTAACACACAAAATAAATTTTCCTCTACATTAGCTAGCCTTGAATAAGTAATTTATTTTAAAATATTTATATTGATGATTTTCAAATTAATTTTTCTAATAAACTACTTAATATGACCTCAAAACTTTTTATAGCTTATATTAAATTATATTAACAATAATACTATTTTCAAATTCAATTTTACTTTTCACTGTTTTATTTTTTAATAATTCTTTTTAGCAAGTTATAATTAAGGTTTTCCAAAAAAATACTTTTCATAGATGCCAAAGAATGACTTAAAAAAAAATAGAAAGAAAAATCTAAATTTTTAATTTAACTTATATAACTCTACATTTATTAGTCAAAGATAAACTGCTAAAGTGCAGACCAGATTTAAAAAATGATAAAAGAAAAAGCCAGAAGTTTGCTTCGCATGAAACAATATAACATTAAAAAAGATAAAAGTTTTTTATCAATATCTTGATAAATAATTTGTTTTGATAAATTTTAATGTTTAATTATAAATAAGATTTATTTATGAAGGAACACAACTTATCTCTGCACTTGGGGATCCATTTAATGCTTTGATGATTTTGTTTAAAATAATTTCTTTTTATTATAATTCTTGTTTTTCTTAGCTTTCTTATTATAAAACTAACTGCACTCATTTAGGTTTACAAACAATAACAAAAAATATTTTCAAGTTGTCAGTTTAAAAAACTACTAGAAACATTACTTTCTAAAACTCTAGATTTTACATAATATATATTATGATGTAAAAATAATACAAAAAGTAAAATATGATAAATTTAAAATTTCAGAATCCACCATGCACACAAATTAAATATAAAAAATGATAAAAAAAAATTATATAAAAAATAATGAAAATAAATTATATAAAAAATGATGAAAATAAATTATATAAAAAATGATGAAAATAAATTATATAAAAAATGATGAAAATAAATTATATAAAAAATAATGAAAATAAATTATATAAAAAATGATGAAAAAAAATTATATAAAAAATGATGAAAATAAATTATACAAAAAATGAAAATAAATTTTTACTTGAGAATAATCTGGACGTGCTACTGATGATGATTGTGCTGATGCCATGGCTTTTTGTTTTAATTTCTGGGATTTCTTAAATTTACTTTTACTGCTTAGTAGCTCTAATGCTTTCTTATCAAATATCGATCTTGGCTTTGATATTCGATTTCTTAAAAAAATATATGAAAAAATTATTGTTTAACACAATATAAACCATTAACTATCTTTAACATTAGAAAAAAAAAGGTAACATAAAAGATAAACCATTAATATCACAAAACAAACCATCTTACATTATTATTATTACATCATCATCTTACAAAATATCTTACATATTACAATGATTAAACTTACATATAACTATAATTATATGCATATTTTAAAAAAACATTCAACATTAAAAATACCTTTTTTATAAATTAAAAAAAAAAGCTCAAGTAATGTGTTCAAGAAGGTTTTCTTTAACAGCATATCTTAAAGAACTTTCCACATTAAACATACTTTTTTTTAAAAAAAACATTAGGCATACTTTTTTTTTAAACATTAAACATACCTCTTTTTTTTAAACATTAAACATACCTTTTTTTTTTAAAACAACCTAAATAATGTGTTCGAGAAGTGTTTCGTTTTACAGCATAAATATCTACCCCATTTTTTCTAAATAAAAAAAATGTTAAAGTTACTTTAAAAGTTGTATAAAAATTTTATATTACTGCAAAACCATTTTTAATTACCCATGTTTAATTAACCATGTTTAATTAGTGTTTTATATTACTGCAAAACCATTTTTAATTACCCATGTTTAATTAACCATGTATAATTAGTGTTTTATACTACTGCAAAACCATTTTTAATTACCCATGTTTAATTAACCATGTTTAATTAGTGTTTATATTACTGCAAAACCATTTTTAATTACCCATGTTTAATTAGTGTTTTATATTACTGAAAAACCATTTTTAATTACCCATGTTTAATTAACCATGTTTAATTAGTGTTTTATATTACTGCAAAACCATTTATGATTTTATTAAATTGAATTTAAAAGCAACATAAAATAAATGAAAATAACATAATTCGTAATTGTCATAATTTACATAACTAAAAGTTGTTTTTTTTTTTGCATTATTTACAAGCACAATTCAGTATTATTTTAAAAAAATTATATTATTTTATAAAAAAATTACTTTAAAAAATGAGTTGGAGGTAAGTAGTTTTCAGGTATTGTTTCAGCTTCATATAAGAAATTTAAGCATGGATCTGAAACTTCCTCAATATGATTATCTTCTGGAGGAGTCGGTGGCACCCACATCTAAATTAATATAATCTATTATACCAGCTTATCAAGTTGATTATAGAAACTTTATTGTCTATTACAAAATCAACTAACTAAAATAATATTGTGTATAGTATATAAAATATTTTCATAAATAACTTCTTCCTTCATTAAAAAACTCAAATGCTGTTTTTACTGGTATTATTATATTTAAAGGGATCCCAACATGTTGTTTAAATTAAAAAGAATGATAAAAAGAAAAATGTTTAAGCTAAACTTATTTGATTAAAACAAAAGACTAAATGCATACCAAGAAAAACTAACTTTTTTTGTTTTAGTCAAAGCTTGCTTTATTTGTTTCATTGTAGGCCAAATCATCTTCATTATATACGCCACATTTTATTCCTATGAGTTTTAGTACATGACGTCGTTAATTTTATTGTTAGCCATCAATTTTTAAAACAAACATAAAAATCAATGTCATGTACTTAATCTCTTAGGAATAAAACATGCCGGAATAAATTATCAAGTCTGTAGATTGTAGCATATATTATGAAGACTATGTAGCCTTCAACAAAACAGAGAAAGCAAGCTTCGACTTAAAAAAAAGTTTTGCTTGGTATGCCATTTATTCTTATGTTTTAATCAATAAAATTTATCCAAAAGCGTATTTTTTTATTATTCCCTTTAATATAAACACAATGTCTCTGAGTTTTGGGATTCTTTTAATATTTTATACTATATTATTGTATGCATAAGTAACAATATATTAGGTTTTTTACAAAATAAAAAAAACTAAAACTTTCTGATAACACTTAGCTCGCCCCTTTTTTTTTAACTACGAAAACTTATTTTACTTTTTTTTTTTTATAGTGAATATTTAAATTATACATATATCCAGGCCTTGCGATAAAGCGTCAGGCGATGTGAATTTCACGTTGTCCAAGAGCGATTTTGCGTGTAGCCTGGGCTATTTGCGTCAAGCAAAAAAATTTTTGTTTGAATATATTTAAAGATATTTTTGAGCGGAATTTTAATGAAGTAATTTACAATTACTTTAACACTTAATAAAGTATTTTAAAAACCACACGCAGTTGATATAAATGTTTGAATTACAAAAAAATTAAATATGCTCATAATTTACAAGTAGAAAAAGATTTTTTCCCTTTTTTGTTACCGAAACTCTTTTACTTATTTTAGTAGAAATAAAATTCCATGTAAACATTAAAAATCTATTCAAAATGTTTGTTAAAGTTTTTTAGTAATACGAGTGATTGTGCTTATCAACCGCTTTATGAAAATAAATAAAAATAAATAAAATAATATTATATAAAATTGTTGGTAAAAATATTAGCTATTGCACAGTTTTTAATTGTACAATATTAAAATTTCCAGTTTGTTACTCGCTGAATTTTTAAAAAGAAAAAATTATTATTTGAAAAACTTTAAATTATATATTTGAGAAGAAAAAAAATCAAATATTAGCAAATTTTATAATCTTTTTTAAATGTTTAGTTATAATGTTTTTTATTTTTTTAGTATAGACAAAACGTGTCAAACGTCGAAAAAATAAACAAATGTTTTTACATTTTAAAAAACGAAACATTCCAAAACATTTTAAATTAATAACATTTCTACATTAATGATTTAAAGTAGTTTTGTGGTAATTAAATAAATTTGTGCAGTTAATGTCGATAAATATGAAAAGCAAATAAAAAGAATTTAATGAAGTCAAAAATCACGTTGTGCTTATGTGTCGCGCAGTTTTTATTCATCACAAGGCCTGTATATCTACATTAAAACTATAAACCTTTTTTTTTTTTTTATATTAAATATATATCAGCAACCAAAATAAACCTACTGGCATGGGTGATCCTGTGTATTCATCAATGTATTCCTTTAAAAAAATAATTTTATAATTAATATTAAAATAAATATTTTAAATATTTAAGATTGTATTTTTATAATACATGCAAAAAGCTAAAAATATACATATAAAGATATAAATTTAAAAAACATGAACTTTTTTTTTTGGAGAAATATACCTTTTTTTTCCATAACCATTTTTATATTTTATTCAGCTCTTTATTTGCTTATTTTTAAGTAATTGTATAAAAAGTTGAAAATGAGCCATGATAATGACATCTTAGTCATGGGGAAGGCAAGTCATTTAGAATAAAGCTAACTAGCTTATTTAGAATAAAGTAAACTCTAATAAAACTCCTTATTTAATTGGGGTTAGTCACAATTAATAGTATTTATTATCTGTAATATTAAATACTATTAATTGTAATTTAATATCATAATAAAAATACATGTTCCTGATCAAAAAACAGCTTAATTAAATATTAAATCCAGTAATAACATAAGTAAATCCAGTAAATCCACAAATTTCAAGTCATATTTAGTTTTAAAAAATACCATATTATGGAAACTGTCCAAATCAAAAAAAAAAAAAAAAGTTATAATTTTGATCAGGCTTTTTTTGGTACTACTTTCCTTTTTTAATAAAGTAGGAATTTCTTTTTTTAACAGGCAAAGAGACACATACCCACTTATTAATCTTATTATAAACATTATTTTCAAGTCAAAAGTTTAAATTTTAAACTTTTATGTTAAAAACTTTTCAGAAATATTTTTTAGTTATAAAGTTCATAGATCCATTAAAAAATCATTTATAATGTATCTATGAACTTTTTTAAATAATAACATTAATTGAATATTAAAATTCTGACCCTAATATTAAATTATACACTTATATAACTAGTGTATTATTTGTATTAAAACATTCAAACAAGTGATTATGTTTCTGACAAGCAGCTTCTCATCTCCGTAATTCAGTGTGCAATAAATATGTGCTATTTCTTAATTAATGAATGGCAAAAGGCTAAATAATAAAAAAAAATAACAACAACAACAACAACAACAATAACAACAACAATAATAATAGAAAGATAAAGCACATCCTGAATGGAAAAGACAAGAAGCTCCTTGTTGCCATCCATAAATAAAGAAACAACACAATTTATGTATAAATAACGTTTTTTATCACAAAAATATTACAACAATGAAAATCACAAATTTGGTATGAAAATTTTAAAAGATTTAGCTAAACAAAAACCAATCATTATCAATAAATTTAGGACGAGGTGTTCGAGAGCTTCGTCTAATTTCTCCGATATCAGAAACAGGAGAAGATAATGAACATGTGCTGCTAGCTGAGCTTGTACCATTTGTTTGAATAGTTAATTGAGATGCAAATTGAGGAGTTTTTGTTATCTCAGAGTTACTTTTATTGATAGGAATTTTATTGGGAAGTGTTGTTGAAATAAAGTCTCGTAATGTTACAGTTTCGATTTTAGGGGATATGTTAGGATCATTTGGTTTTATTCTTTGCGTATCGTTTGATGCTAGAATTTCTAGTTTAGAAAATGTATTTGTTTCTGTAGATAGTCTATTTTTTGAGTATTTTTCATCTTTGTTTTTTAGTTTTGAAGCTTTGCTGGTAACTGAAGAGCTTGTTGTGACATTAGTTTTACTATTGGGTATACTTAACTCCGATTCAGTGTTTGCATTTTTAGAAGGTTTAGAAGTTTTCCTTTTATTTTTATTTTTAAAAGAATTATCATTCTTTGCTCTAACTGCATCTGCAGCAGTTTTTTTAATTTTTTCAATATTATTGTCGCCTAACTTGCTAATTAATGGAAGAACTCGTTTACGAAGCTTTTCTTGAGGACTTAAAGAATCTTCATCATTAATTTTAACAACGTCAATATTACCCTCTTCATTCACCTTTGAATAGGTTGAATCCCGTACATAAGTAAACAACATTTCATCTTCTTGTTCAGCATTGCGTTGCTCTTCTGCTTCTTTGATTGAACGCAGATGATCAAGTTCCCAGTCTTTTTTTGCCTGCTCTAATTTTTTTTCCGTTTCAATAACTTCGTCATTAACTGCGTACATTTCAGAACTCTCAACAAATTTCAATGCTAACAACTCGATTGGCCGTAGCTAAAAGTAGAATAAGTAAATAAAAAAGTTTATAAAAAGCAAATATTACAATATAAACATTTTATTATAAAATTACAGAAAGCCAAATTATTAACAAAACAACAACAACAACATCATAGGAAAATATATTTTATATTAAATTATACTTAATACATATTTTGTGAAATTAAGTATAAAAAATAGACATAATTTTACTTTTTTTTTAGTTTATTAAAATAACCATTAGCTATTAAATTAATGCTATCTATAACTTACTGTACTTATTGCTTATTATTTATTGCTTATTACTTACTGTATATTTTATTATTTAACTTTATTTGTATCTTATAGATTACATTTTAAATTATTAGTTTTTATAAATTTGAAAAATGTTTGCTGTTATTTTTTAAGTATATTTCGATCTTATTACACACACACAAAGGTACTTTTATACAATAAAATTTTTTATTAAATATATTAAAATTTTTTATACACTGCTTGCAGATATAACATGAGGAAAGAAACTAAAACCGATGATGACGAACTACTATCTCATCATTATCAGTAATGAGTAAAGTAATGCAAAAACTAATAAAAGATGACATAATAAATTACTTAAATTTATATAACTTAATTGCTAAAGAACAACATGGATTCACTACTGGTAAATCAATAATCATAAACTTTCTGAAATCAATTGATAACCAATAAGCTTTCAGCAATAAATAACCAATAAGCTTTGAGCAGTAGATTTTTTGCTTTAGTAGTTGAATTTGCTAACACATTCAATAAAGTAGAAAGATAAATAAGAAAGTTTTTATTTTGGCAATAAGTAGTTATTGCAAAAATAAAAACTTTCGACAAAGTATTCACAAATTGGCTAAACACCTTTCTCTCGAACAGGCAACAAAGAGTTGTAATTAATAATGAAGCATCTCAATGGCTTCCAGTATTAAGTGGTGTCATCACAAGGCGAAGTTTATCATCACTTCTATTCAATTTATTTATTAATTACTGAATTAGTTCACAGTACCTGCAATCTATTTGCAAATGACAGTAAGTTAATTGGCTTAATTAAAAACCAAAAAAAATTGAAAATTATTACAAGATGATCATAATAAACTAGTTAAATGTATACTAGTAACTAGTAAAAATTGAAACATGAAATTGAATTTAAAAAATGTAAAGTAATGAAAGTTTACAGTATCAAAAAAGTTTATTGACTAAATAAATCTACAAAAAAAAAGAATACACAATGCTTTCAGGTAATCAATACAATTATCGGATAAATCGTTATGTGTGACAAATTAAGGTTTATTACAAAGATACAAAGTTTGCTCCCAAGTTCTTTTTATGACAGACTATCAGTAGTTGTGGCATTAAAAGCTCTTCTTTAATAATAAAAAATTTCGATATTAGATCTATATGTGAATAAATGATTGGAAAAACTACTTTTTTTAATTAAAAAAGATACAAACAACCAGCTTTATTTTGGCCAAATCTGAGATCAATCCAAAAAAGTAATGGAGTGGTAAAGAATAGTCTATGTCATTCTTGAGATTCACTTTTCAAAAAAACTTTTGCAAAATTCTGCAAAATTCAAACTTTAAGCTATTTACAATATCATTAGAATTAATGATGGCAACAAACATACCAATATCAAGTACTTTTCTGCTACAACAAGTCAATGACTTAGAAATTAATGGCTCAGAAAAAGTTAATTTGTTTCAACTCTATTTTATCAGAAATAAAATTTCTCTTAGATTTACTTGATCTCAACACAAATATATATATTATACAATCTCAAACAATAAATATATTATACTTCTCCAACTATATAAATAATACTCTCCAACCAATCAAAATTTGTGATTCTTTAGGACTTTAATTGTATTTATAATTTAGTTGTTTTGAGTAATGGAGCATCACTGGATAATTGTACTGTCTTGTTATTATTTTAAGAGAGCATTTTTTTTACTATGTAACTTTTTTTTTATGCATTGAATAAAATGATAAATAAATCAACAAATATAAGCAGTAAAACAAACAAAAAAAGGAAATTATAAGCTAGTTAAATTAAGTCTCTTTTTAGTTAACTAGTTTACAATTAATCTTTTAGTTTATCAATTTATTCTTTAAACTAAAGAGGTTTATAATTACAGAAAAATTCTCTAAATCAGTTTCGATGATAAATTTTTATATGGCAAAAAAAAAAAAGAGAACAAAAATTTTATCTTGCTAATCATATAAAATTAATGTCAGTTTAAACCTGCTGTTAATTTTAGTTTAACAAACTATTTTCAAATCTGTTGTTAATTTAAAGAAATGATATTGTTTTAAATGTACAGAATTCAAACCTGAAATTCATTAAAGGATTAATAAAAATGTGATTGCAGAGAAAAATTAAAACATGACACAATTGAAAACATGCTATGGTGTGATTGTTTCTGTAGACTATTTCTCACTAAACCAAAGACACCTGATAAACAAGACAACAACAGCAACAACATATTATAACAAGCAATTATAAGACTTGTCATAACAATAATTTAAATGTTTAAAATATTAAACTATATAAAATTAACATTTGCTTAAAAAATCATAACGATAATTACATAAAGAAATTTACCTGAGACTCTAACTCTAAAAGATCTTTCTCAACTTTAGACAACCCACTTGAACTCTAAATTTCACATTAAAAAAACAAATGATTTAAGAAAACACAAAACTTTTGATTTCAAAATGGCTGAAATTATAATGACAATGATAATTTCAATTAAACAAAACAATTTAATGAAATTTTTAATTAAGATCTTGATTATAAATTTTTAGCAGTTCAAGTCAGCAAATAATTAAAAAAATTACAATTTATTCTAAACAACTAAAACAAAAATAACTTTTTTATTCGATTATTTAAAAATACCTTTTCATTTGTTTCATTATTAGCATTTTCAGTAAATTCTACCATTTCGAGTTCTTGTTCAGCTTTTGCTTTTTGAGCAGCAACTGCGTCTTCCTCTTCTTCTGCAGCTCCCAATACCTAAAATAACATTAATTTATAACTTGACTATTATTTTTTTAATTTGGTAAAATATATGGAATATTGTTAAGTCATAGATGATAATAAAATGTGAAATCAAAGATGATAATATAATGTGAAGTCATAAACAGATATAATAAGTAAATCAAAAACTCAGTAAAAGCTGTACTTAGCACTTGCTAAATATTATTTAGATGTTTTTAATATTTGATGACAAAGAATAAGAAATGGAAAACTTTAAAAAAAAAAAAAACTAAAAGTATTTAATAAATAATATAAAACTAAGTTGTTTTTTGTGTATTATTTATTTAGCAATATATGCCAAATAAATTGCAACGCTGTCAAGATTATCATATTAAAATTAAAAGAAAAAAAAAATTCATGTATCATTCTTGTTAATTTATCTAAAGGAATTTACATGAACATTGATTAATTAATTTCTTGTTTTAATAGAAATATTCATAGCAAATTGCTATGAAAATAAAAATACATTTTTTTACTTCTAAATAACTTTAACTTTTGTTCAAGTTGTTTAATCTAATTTTAAAATTTCTGATTCAATGAAAAATATTTACTACTAATACTACCAATATAATGCAAACTTCAGAAAAAAAAAAAAAAAAAAAAACTAAAAAATTTAGATATATTAATCAAACAAAGAAAAGTATTAATTCCAATCTACATAAAAAAACAACTAAAAACATCAATAAAAGCTCATAGAAATTATTTTTTTCTAGCTAAGAAATAACTGGTAATATTTCTTGAAAAACTTATATTTTTATGTAGTATAGTATATATTACTAAGTATGAACATTAAAAAAATATATTTATACATCAATTTAAAAAAATTTAATAGCATTACTTGCTCATAAGAACTATTTGTTTGAACAGCATCTACTGATTGATCATCTTTTTTATTAGATAACTGAAATGATTCAGAATTATTAGCAGAATTTGTATTAAAAAGTTCTTGTACAGACTCTTGTTTAAAGAATGCTGTGTTGAAGTTCCCCCCTTCAATTGCAATATTTCCAAGTAAGCGTTTTTGTTGAGCTTTTTTTAAGATGTTCTCTTCAACAGTTCGTTCAGATATTAATCTAAAGATGAAAAAAAATTAATCTAAAAATAAAAGATATCTAAAAACAAAAAAAACATTAAAAATTTAATTTATTTGTAATCAAAGTTTTATTAAAGAAAATATCAAAAGTACCAACATAAATCTTTTATTACCTGTATATATGAACGTCTCTAGTCTGACCAATACGATGACATCTATCCTGGGCTTGAGCATCCATTGTTGGATTCCAATCACTGTCATAAAAAACCACTGTGTCAGCTCCAGTTAAGTTTATACCCAAGCCCCCACTTCGAGTTGAAAGAATGAAAATAAATATTTTATTGTCTTGATTAAAACGCTCCATTAAAATCTACAGATACAGAATTAAATATTTCAAAAAAAGCTTATAATTTAAACTCATTTTTATTTAAAAATTATTAAGACTTAAATTTCTATTTTTTATAGCTTAATAAAAAAATTTTTTTTTTACCTGTCTTTGCTCAACTTTTGTTGTTCCATCAAGCCGTAAATATATATATCCATGATAATTTAAAAACCTTTCTAAAACATCTAACATTTTTGTCATTTGAGTAAAGATTAGCACTCTGTAAAAAGAAAAAAAATAATCAATCTTTAATTTTAAACAATGGAAAAGTAACAGAAATTACAAAAACCGTCGCAATAGCAATTGAGATATTTATAAATATCTTTTTTATATACAGTTATTTTTTTAAATTTAAACATGTTTTTATTTATATATAATAATCATGATTAGAAAAAAGTTAAAATTAATAATTTTGTGTAAATGCTATCTTTTTTGAATTACAATTTTATTTATTATTCAGAAATTTTATTTAATATTTTAAACTGAATTAAAAACATTTTATATTGTTTTGAAAATCTCAACTATTAATATAATACCTATGTTTTCCAATCTTTAGATGTCGCAGCAAATCGTTTAGTGCTTGAAGTTTGCCTGAATAAACATGCTTAAAATTACAGAAATAAATTTGCAACAATCTAATTTAGTAAAAGAAAAAAGTCCAATAATAAATAAACAAAGTTATGGAATTGTATCTGGTAAGATAAAACAATCATGAAGTGCTGTCATCAGTGAAGTAACCAAAGTATCTATTGGTAAAGGTCTTACAAAACTTTTTTATTTTTTGTTTTTTTCAAAACTACTTTTGTTATTAGTAGAGCATATAAACAATGAAAAAAGCTATTTTTCAAGATAATTGTTGTCATTAGTGAAGCATATATAATAATTAAGTGAAGCAAATTAAAAATTAAAACTTATAAGTAATTAAAATAAAAACATAATCTGAAAAAACATACCACAGTCATATTGAACCAGCCTAGTTTCTGGAAATTGGATTAAAGACATTGTTTTTAAAGGATAGATTAAAGAAAATTTGCTTCCAACTAATAATGCTACATCATTAATAAGATTTTTAACATGTTGAACTTTTGAAGGCGCAGGATTACATGTATGATATTGAATTGGTGAAGATAAAACTGGATGAACAAACAATGCAAACCTACGCAAAAAAAATTAAAATTTAAGAAAAAATTAATATAATTATAACAACTGAGATAAATGACATAAACATATTTATAATTTAATAAAATAATTATACAACCCTCTGAATTAGGATCAGCATTTGGCAATGCCAACCAGAAAGTGTTTGAGGTCTGCAAAAAATTGTCGACCTTGTTTCTATGTTTTATGGTAACATATTTTTTTGGGGGTAAAAATTTTTTTGCTGACCTCTAACAATTTGAGGTCAGCAATTTTTGATATTGTCGATCTCATTTTTCCTAATTCCGAGGATTGATTATATATTTATGGTAATTTATATTACTTACAATAGTTTATATTATACTTAATTTTCAATACCTAATGATGTTTCATTTAAATACCTTTCTATGATTGACTGAAGTTCTTTGATTCGTTTTTTTGGTGATTTTATCATACATTTTAATGTTTCACACTCACAGTGCACACCATCTGGGCGATAAAAAACTTTTCCTGTTTCCACAATATTTAACTTGGCACGTAAATCCACACCATATAATGGATATGAGGAGCAGTGTCGCTCATTTATTTGAGCTAAACCTTGAAGTCGAGATGCTAACATACTGTCAGCCTTTTGTTTGATGTGTTCCTAATTGAAACAACAAAGTCTTAATGGAAAAGCATTTTAAAAAAATAAAAATAAATAACAAACATCATTTTAAACATGAAAATTATAAATTTTCATATTTAAAATAAAGAACCTAAAATAATCTCCTAAATAAACCTAAAATAATCTCTTAAAATAAAGAAGATTCATACCAAATAAAAAGGAGAGCTAGAATCTGTGACATAGTCTTTGAATGCTTTCTTTTTAGAAGTTTCAACTTTGCGCTTTTTTGCAGCAGGAGAATAATAAATATCGGAATAATATGAATCATTATCAATATTAACAATATCAACATCACAGGCATCTAATGATTCTTCTACCTGCCTAGTTAGAATATCACCTAAATTAGTAATATAGAAATAAAATAGTAATATAAATAAAACAAAGTTTTTAATACACTTCTTTTTTTACACTTTGTTAAATGTTTTATTTTTCCAGCATAAAATTCAAAGTTTTTATTAATTAAAAAAATATTTTTTTAATGTTAAAAAAATTAACCAAATGTCAAAAAAAAATTGACACAGGTTATTTTTTCAACAATATAATTTCAAAAAAAAAAAAAATTTTTTTTCACTAATTAAAAGTCAATTAACTCAGGAAATAACATATTTGTTCAAGTCTTTTGTGCACCAAAAAGACTTTGTTTTGTAAAAACACTTCTTTCAAGAGTTCATTTACAAAAGGATTCATGTTATATTAAAATATAACATATTTAAACAACCAGCTTACCAATAGAAGCGCACCCGGCAGTAGTTTGAGAAAAATCAATAATATCTAGATAACTTCTATTAGTTTCTATTATATTTGTTGATAATCTTGATGGAGTATCAAGGTTATTGAAAAGCGAACTAACACAAACTTCTTCTTGCATTGTAGATAAAGCATCTGTGTCTTGTGTTAGAATGGTGGTAGACGGAGTAACATCTTCAATAAGTTTTTTATGTACCTTAAGTTCAGACGATCGACAAGCTTGATATGCACTCAAACTCATTTCTAAGTCAATCAGGCAAAAGTTCCAAGATCTTATGTCAATAAACTCGAGTGGATCTTTAATAAAAACTTTATCAACTAAAGAAGCAGTGCTATAGTTTATTGGCTCCATGACAAATGGTGAGACTGTTGGTCGTAGCTCAAATAAATCAGGATGATTACAAACCTAAAATATAAATGTTTACAACAAATAAAAACAAAGTTTAAAATAAATGAAAAAATTAAAAATTAGTCAATACATTGTTTAGCCAAGAAAAACAATGTCAAACTTCAATTAGAAAATACTTATGTTAATAATAGAATACATTGATGCGCTAATGGTATGTTGTTGGCCTCAGGTAAGTCACTGGTCAGAAACAAATAGTCGGTCAGTGGCAAGTATATTTAGCAACTGGGGTTAGTCTTAACATAAGTCAATCACCTGTGTAAGATTGAAGCTTAGGTCAGTCAATGAGAATCTATGAAAAAAAAAAAAATTGGTGCTGAAATAGCAGAAAACTAAAAGAAATGCTGCCTGAAGAACACATTGAAAATATGACTGCTAACATGCTAAAATGATTGTTGGTACAAGTCCTTCAAAGATGCTAAAAAGTTAGTTGTTTGTATTTCATTAGTATAAATACTGATAAATCATGTTGTTGAGATTAAATGAGAACAATTGCATTAAGATTAGCCAATAAATGATCAGTGTTCAACAAAGTTTCAGTATAGTGATACAAAAAAATTTCTGTTTGATTATAATGATCAAAAATTTTAAAAAATTGAGTTGATTTTCAGTCTTGTAGATATATCTGAAGCAATTCTTGATTGTTTATTAGCTTTAATAAAAACTTTTTTATTTTAACATTTTTTCAGTCATGAAAAATATTAAAATAAAATTTAAAGTTGTTGAAAAATGTTAAAAAATTTTTGCCACCATTGCTTAAATGATGGCAATTAAAATTTGAACCGTAATTTTTTCTCCAATGTTCACTGTCCCCTAACCATAGCCAAGAAGATCACACTTAAATAAATTTGCAAGAGAGTTGTTAATTTCATAAACTTAATATATTATCAAACATAATGTATGTTATCCAAGAAGCAAGGTTTGTTTAACTAAAAATTTTCTTGCAGATAAATGAAAAATTCATTTTTAAAGCATTGTGTGTGTATGCGTGTATATATATATATATATATATATATATATATATATATATATATATATATATATATATATATATATATATATATATATATATATATATTAGGTTTAACAAAAATTAATGATACCTTTCTAAGTTGCATAAGAATATTGATAACACTTAAGAAATTGCCTGCAGCTATTGTTTCTTTCGTTCTAAAAAAATATATAAAACCTACACTTTTTTTTTAAAATAACTCTCAATTTCTGGGCTACATTAAAGATTTAAACAAGTTTCGATAATGTCATTTTCTATTTTTTTTTCTCCATATTTTCTTGAATAATATAAAAGATAAATCAATTTTTTACATCAAAATATACTTTTTAGGATTAACCTATCAAGCTCTTCCTACCCTTACACACTGGTTTTACATAAAAAAATTTCCTTCAACTTAGTAAGTTGCTTTTACGACAGCTAAAGAACCTCACCTCCACTAATATAGGATAACCCACCTTACCTCCCCTAATATATAATAAGTATTAAGCAATGATCAGGACATGACATAACACTCTGAAATAATTTAATAAAAAGGAAGAATATAACAAACCTGACGTACACAAACTGTGTAATTACACATAACTGTATATTTACACATAGCTGTGTATAGTATATTGTTATAACGATAATGTGTAAAGTAACAAGATATACACGATTTTCAACCATTTGAAATGACAGTGAAATTTAAAAGCATAAAATTTGAATTAAAAAAAAAGTGATTTGAATGTTGGTGTTTTTTTTTAAATCTAAACTATTGTTTGCTGAAAAACAAAAAATTTAAACGTTTGCTTGGCTTTTCTGTAAAAAAGAATTACCTTACAAATCAAAAAATCTCTATATTTTCAGTTAACTTTATGAGGTAAAACAAACCAACACAATTGTAAGTAATGGAGCTGATAACTATAAAAACTTTACTTTTTACAGTAATAAGTTTTACTAATATTAATTTATATTATTTATATTAATGTTAATTTAAATAAGAACAAAACAGAAATAATAAAATGAATTGATTGAATTTATAAGAAAAATCTTTTAAATCTTTATTACTTTGTTCTTCCCATGAACTCATCATAAAGAAAGCGCTGTCTTTTAGATAAACGACACATTACAACATGTTCGTACTTCTTTGGCATCTGGAGTTCAACTTCTGACTTTAGGCGTCTTAAAAGAAATGGCCGCAATACCTAAAAAACATTTTTACTATTTAATGTAAATGTTATAACTATTGAATAAGTTATTAATACTAATTTAATACTATTATTTATATTATCAATAAAAGTTATTTAAACTTAACTCATAAATTATATAAATATTTTACTAGTACTAATATTTTTACAATTTTACTTAAAAGCCAATCTAAAAAAAAAACATAAATAAAATTAATTAAATACATATTTGCTGTTATAAGATATTTTCAAAACTGTTTGGGACTATTATAACACTAATATATTTTTAAAAATATGATGCATATGATTTACATTACCTTAGGGGAGAGCTTACTATAGTTCAAAAAAATATTGATGTACACAAGTGTACTGGCACTGCATCCAATGCAGTAATGAGCCCTGTATATGAGCCCTTAATTAATGTAAATAATCTACTTTAAAACTGCATTTTATCTTTCAGTTTAACTATTTATAGTTAAGTTTTTTTATTAAACAAAGTTAAATTTTTTTGTTTTTCTTATGTAGCTAACTGAAAAAGATTTACTATTTAGATTTATCATTTATTTAGAAAATCACTTATCACAGGTTTTTAGGAATCAACATGTCCTAGCATGTATAAAAATGTATAAAAGATTTATAAGTTTTAAAAATAAAGATTCACTATTAAATTGGAAAACTTTTTAAAACATGACATCCCATTAAAATTACTTGACTTTATTATACTGACTGGTCAATCACTTCACCTATCTAACTACCAACCTACTAGTACAGCTATAATCACTGCTTAAAATAAAAACTAAATGTTGCTAAATAACAAGACAAACTATTTAAGTTATGTAAGTAACCAAGGAAGTGCTAACAAAATAATACAACTGCAAATTCTTTAAAAATTAAACAAATAAGTCAATAAAATTTTTTTTAACAATAAACAACAATAAATTTGAAAAAACTCACTGTGTGTAATCTCTTAATAATTCCTTCACTGTATTCTCGACTTCCCTCAATCATTCCAGTAAGTGGATTTGAAAACCACTCTTTAAAATCTTGATGTGATTCAAAAATATTTGGCATTAAAAAATGCATAAGCGACCACAACTCCATAAGACTGTTTTGAAGAGGAGTTCCAGTTAGTAAAAGTCTACGATGGCTATTAAAATTTAATAAGGTTTGCCAGCGTTGTGACTTAAAATTTTTAATGTTTTGAGCCTAAAGATAAAAACTTTTTTTCAAATTTGCCAATTAGACTGTTTGCCATGATAAACTATATTAATAAACAAATAACTTACCATTTAATCAATATTTAAAAGTTACATTAAATAAAAATAACAGTTAATTATAAAAACAAAAAAGCGTACTTCGTCAAGAATAATATACTTCCATTTGCGTCTTTTAAAAGCTTGGTGATCTTGAATAACCAACTTATAAGATGTGATACATACATGAAATGCATTTGGCTTGCACCATCCCTGCATTACACATTATACTTTATGCAAATATTTTTTTACATATTATATCAAAATATATCATATACTTTAGTATATGATATATTTTGATAAAATTATATTTATATAATATAAAAGATAAAATTTTAGCGTTCTATGTTGCTTAAAAGAAAATATTTTAGTGTTTTATGTTGCTTAAAAACTTTAAAAAAATAACTAGTTTCTAAGCTATCACTTTGTGATTGTTTTAAACATTGTTTTAATGATATTTGAGAAATTATTGAAAAAAAAAAAAGTTTTGTCCTCTCTTTTGATCCTAAAAAATTGAAAGCAGATATTTTTCCAGATTTTTCAATTCGCGATCGTTAATTCAACCCTTGCATTTGCAAATACCTAAAAGTTTCAACAACAAAAAATTTTAAAATAGAACTTACAGCACGTTTAATTTTTCTTTCTTTTTGTGTTCCAAAATAAGTTAATATTTTAAAACCAGGACACCATTTCTTTAGTTCAAGTTCCCAGTTTAACATAACACTTGTTGGCACAATGATTAAATGTGGTCCCCAACAGCCCTCTTCACAGGCTAAATGTGCAAGAAGTGCGATTGTCTGAATAGTCTTTCCAAGACCCATTTCATCTGCTAAAATTCCATTAAGCTGTTTTGAATACATTGTCACAAGCCAGTCAAGACCGATATGTTGATATTCCCTCAAGGGATGTTTTAAAAGAAACGGAACACTAGTTTTTACCTACAGAAATATCAAAAACATACAGAGATAATAAAAACATACAGAGATAATAGAAATAATGAAGTAGTCAAAAATAATAAGTTTATTAAAAATTCATGGGCTTATTAAAACTGCAGAATACTTTTTTAAATGCTGTCTTATAAACTTTCTATTTTCTAAATTAAAAAAAAAAAAAAGATATTTTTCTGAGCTCTGCAAAAATATAAAATTGAGTATTTTGCTAATTAATGTAAAAAAATTACTTGAGTTGTCGACAGGGTGAAACCTTTTGGTTGCAGACTTTCAGCAGTAGCAGCAGCATCATTCAGTTCTTTGTTAGGAACACCAGCTTTGTCTGAATCTTCCTATAACATAATTTTAATGAGAGGTTACAAACCAAAATAAAAAGAAATAAAAACTAGAAAATAAAATTAGAAAACTAAAATCTTTAACTTTAAAACTTTAAAAGCAACTGAAAAGTTAACTTGACTTTTTTTATAGAGTTGATAAAATACAAATAACTTACTGTAACAGAATCTTCAATCAATGCACTTAAAGGAACTTTGTCTGCATAAATAAAATTGAAACAAAAAATTTTAAAATGACAAGAATAAACTAAACAAAATTTAAAAAAATTAACAATAAAGGTGATATTTAAACTGTTAATATTTAATGTATATTTATAATCTATTGTTTTTTAATTTGAAAAAAATGTTCATATTTTTAGGATTGTTTTTCAAACGCATTTTTTAATATAAAAAGATTATTTTTAAAACTTTTATACAACTTCTAATTATTTTAAGACCAAAGCTGACATAATTTTACAGGTCCCTAATAGTGTTAACAATTTGATTTTTTAATATTATTAGGGACCTGTAAACTGTTAAAGGGTCTTGACAACCCCTGAAAATAATTTTTATAAACTAGTTTTTCAAATTCAGTATCATTTTGTTATATAGAACAATTTTTTTTTTTATTTACATTTTTTTTGGGTATTTAACTAATGTCAGGGTAATTTTTTAATGTAACTATTATAACTATATAAATATAATGTCAATTCATAATTGACTTATATTTATATATTTATAATAGTTTAGTTTTGAAAATAAAAGAACTATAAGCATAACTATAAGTAAGACTTTAAAAGCGTTACTTATGATTTTTATACAAGAATAATAAATTTTATAAAACATTACATATGTACTAGGGTCAGATTAAGCAATCATGAATTGTGAATTGGGATTGTTTAAACCATTTATGAATCTTGACAGTATATTATTTGAACCAATCATGATTGCCAGGCTTGGTCAGGAAGACCTGCAATTTCAAGTCTATATATGAACACGCAAATAATATTTTGTTTTGATGATTTAACGACGGTTTTTTAAAAATGTGCTGAAAATATTGGTTTTTAATTACGTTGAAAATAAATAACTTCAATATGTTTTTATATTAGCAAACTGCTTTTTAAAAAAGTAGCTAATGATTTTAATTAAAAGTACATTCAAAGTAGTTTAAATTTTAATTCATTTTATTTTGATATTATTTATAAAAAAAAAAAAATTAATAAAAAATTTTAATTTTGATATACAATGACTTTGAAAAGCCGTTTGAATTAAATAACTTTGATTTTAAATTATCATTGAAATGCATTTAAATAAAGTAACAAATCTCTGTTTATGATTTTTTATAAAAATATTAATGAATATTATATATATATATATATATATATATATATATATATATATATATATATATATATATATATATATATATATATATATATATATATACATATATATATATATACATATATATATATATATATATATATATATATATATATATATATATATATATATATATATATATATATATATATATATATATATATATATATTATTCATATTTATATCAGCATGTATTTTTTATTTTAACTACCTTAAAAAAAATAATAACAACTTTGTAAATAAACAATTTAATTATTGTTTCTTTTATTTACGTTACTTCAAAGAATTGTTTCACATAATATTATAAAAACATTAGTAAAGATTAACGATTCAAAGTTATTTATTCCAAACGTAATTTAGATAATTGTAGCATTATTGTTTATTGCTGCAAAAGTTCTAACTGAAATTTTTTATATTAGGAAAATTTTAAAAAATCTTTTAATTTGTTTTCAATGTTTAATTAAAATTATTTATATTTTTTTTTTTTTTTTATGTGTTTATGTATTCTATTTTTGGTTGATGTATAAAAATACATAAATAAATAAAAAATAATCATATAAATATTTTTGTCTAGACATGAAAAAAAAAAGGACAAAAGATTTATTTGCTATTCTCAAAAAAATCAGTTAGAACCTTGTCAAACCAACACAATGAGATATCTGAATTCCCTGTCTTTCCCTTTTTTCCCTGATCTAGCAGACACCCTGTACCACAATGTAAATTATATATAAAATTTTTTGCTACATTTCAACCTTTTTCAATATCATTCTCTTCATTTGAGTCACTATCAAGATCTGATTGTGTTGCTTTTGTGTCATCAACATTGTTTGAGCTACCATATAACTTTATCAACTCATTTATAGGAAGTTCACCTGAAAAAAGAAAAGTAAAATCTTATTTATTTTATTTAAATCCACCTCTATATAAATTTAAAAATGAAAAAGACTTAAGGTGGTCCTCCGCAGCAAAAACTAACATTTGATTGCAAAGGGTTATTGATTTAATTTTTTCACAAAAAAGGGGCCTATAAATTATTTACAAAAATCATCTTTTTTTTTATATAAAAAAAAAAAAGCCTTGATTATTCAATAATTTAAAACAATAAAAAAAAAAAACATTAATTTTTTGTGACAAGCTAGCAATCATAGAATTTTGCTTATGAACTCATAGAATTTAGCTTATGCCTCTATGATAATGGCTACGCAACTCTTCCTGTTATCTCCATATGAGGGTACAGCTCTAAAACTCAGTTTAATGGTTCTGAGGCCGGCTGGTAGTAAGGTTTCCCGAACTCTGTGGTAGCTCTCAGAGAGGCTGATTCCATCAACAGCTGCAAAATATCAGAGTATTAACAGTGCCATGTTGCGCATGGATGGTGTCCCTGTTAATGCTTTTGGTGTGCATTGTCAAGGCCACATAAGGAGCCCTATGTCACGGCTTAGGGTTAATTAACAGGACTGAGACAACTGCATAGCTCATTGATTAGGAGGCTGTGCTCTATCTATGAATGAGTCAAGTTCTCATTAAACCCAAATCATGACCAAAGTAAGCAAAAATTTAAAACCTAAAAAACCATCCCCACCACCTAAATATTTTAATATATCTTTTACAAATATTCGCGGTCTACGAAGCAACTTTCCATCAGTTGAGTCTTACCTCCTGCAAAATTCACCAGACTTGCTTGCACTCAGTGAAACAAATTTAAGTTCTGCAATTCCTTCTTCAGATGTCAGTGTTGATGGGTACTATCCTTTGATTCGTAAAGACTCCAATAGTCTCATGCTAGGTTTAGGGGAATACATACGCATTAATTCCCCTATTTGTCATGAAATCAGGTTCGAATCCTTTGACCATTCTTTTATGTGCTTTCGCCTAGCACCTCTTCACTCTATCACCTTTCTCTTTGTTCTTTATGGTTCTCCTTCTTTCCATGATTGCACTCTTTTAGATGTTATCTCTGATCAAATTGACCATGCCCTCTCTCTTTACCCCTCTGTCAATATTCTTGTTGTTGGTGATTTTAATGCCCATCACACTGAATGGCTTGGCTCTAACACCACTGATCCTGCTGGCACTAAAGCCTTTAACTTCTACGTTTCTCAATCCCTTACTCAGATAGTTAACTTTGTGACTCGTTTTCCTGACAACCCTAATCATTTACCTTCACTCCTTGACTTATGTCTTGTCTCTGACCCTAGCTTATGTTCAGTTTCTGCCTTTCTCCCTTAGGTGGTTCTGACCATGCAATGATCTCTATAAATCTATCTTCTCGTACTTCTTGTTTGGGCTCACCTTATCATTGCACCACCTACTACTACCCTAAAGTTGACTGGGATTCCTTTCGTGATTTTCTTCGTGATGGTCCTTGGGCTGATGTTTTTTCTCTCTCAGCTGACAAATGCGCCTCCTACGTAACCTCCTGAATTCAGGCTGGAATGGAAGCTTTTATTCCTTCTCGTCGGTTTCAAGTCAAGCCTCATTCTACTCCATGGTTTTCTCCTTCTTGTGCGGCTGCTATATCCAATCGTAATCATTTTTTTCATCTTTTTCAAAAGAACAACTCTCTTGAGAACAAACGGCTATTTATTATTGCAAGAAATCGATGTAAAAAGGTGCTTTCTGATGCTAAACTCCATTATTCTCAGTTCACTAAATCTCGCATCTTATCGCAGAAGTTAGGCTCTAAAGACTTTAGGAAAATCTTCAACAGCATTGTTAACAAGGGTAGATCTAACATTCCACCTCTCATTCATGGGACTGATCTTGTTACCTCTCCCAGGGATAAGGCAGAACTGTTCGCAAAGAACTTTTCTTCTAATTCCACTCTTGAATCTTATGGACATTCTCTTCCTTCCATTCCAGTCAAACAGGTTGACCCATTGTTAGACATTCAAATCACTCCGGCTTCTGTTGCTAAAGTCATATCTCAATTAAACTCGTCTACAGCTTGTGGTCCAGACAACATTCCTATCACAGTCTTGCAGAATTGTTCTCCAGAACTTTCTTCAATTCTCTCTAAACTATTTAACAAGTGTTTGACTGAGTCTTGTTTTCCTGCTTGTTGGAAAATGGCATCTGTGGTTCCAATATTCAAAAACTCTGGAGAAAATTCTGACCCCTCCAATTATCGTCCGATCAGTCTTCTTTCTGTTATTAGCAAGGTCTTTGAGTCTTTGATCAACAAATTCCTCACATCTCATCTTGAGTCAAATAAACTGCTGTCAGACAATCAATACGGTTTTCGATTTTCTCACTCTACGGCCGACTTGCTAACTGCTGTAACTGAAAGATTTTATCGTGCATTAGATGGAGGCGGTGAGGCTAGGGCTATTGCTCTCGACATATCTAAAACTTTCGACAAAGTTTGGCATGCTGGTCTTCTCCATAAGCTTGCTTCATATGGTGTTTCTGGGAAAGTTTTTGAGATTATCAAATCATTTCTTTCTGACCGGTTTATTAAAGTCATCTTTGAAGGCCAACACTCTTCTTTATTTCCAGTAACTTCTGGGGTTCCCCAAGGTTCCATCCTGGGCCCTGTTTTGTTTCTTATCTACATAAACGATCTTCCTGACAACCTTTCATCTAAAGTAGGTCTTTTTGCTGATGACTCAACTTTATACTCCTGTCTTGACAAAAAGTCTACTCTTTTCGATCGCCTAGAACAAGCAGCTGATCTTGAATCTGATCTCACTTCAGTAATAGATTGGGGTTCACAGTGGCTTGTGAATTTCAACTCTAAAAAAACCCAATTGCTTACTGCAAACAACTACCGTAATATGGTCAACATTCCTATATTAATGAATGGCAATCCTCTTACTGAGTCGTCCTCTTTACGTCTTCTTGGATTATCGCTTACTACTGACCTTTCATGGAAACCATATATACAATCGATTGCTAAATTAGCTTCTGCTAAGGTTGCTTCTCTTTATCGTGCTCGCCATTTCCTTACTTCTGATTCCATTCTCTACCTCTACAAATCTCTTATTCGTCCCTGTATGGAATACTGTTGTCATATTTGGGCTGGTTCTTCTAACGATTCACTCTCTCTTCTTGACAAGGTCCAAAAACGCATTGTAAATGTTGTTGGACCTGGACTATCTGCTAAGCTTGAACCTCTTTCCCATCATCGATCATCGTAAAGTTGCATCTCTTTCTCTTTTCTACAGATACTATCATGGTCACTGCTCAAAGGAGTTATCATCTCTAGTTCCATCAACTAAAATTCATTCTCGTTTTACTCGTCATTCAGCTAAGTCTCATTCGTTTTCTGTATCTGTCCCTGCATGCTCTAAAAACTTTTATTCATCTAATTTTTTTCCCCGCACTTAAATTCTTTGGAACTCTCTCCCATCTTCATGTTTTCTTGACTCATACAACCTTCAACTTTTTAAGTCTTCTGTCAACCGTTTCCTTGCTCTATCACTCTGTTCTTTTTTTTTCCTAGTAACTCCCAACTTAATAGTGGTTGCTTGCAGCCTTGTTGGGAGTGAATGCAAATAAAAAAAAAAAAAAAAAAAAAAAATCAATATACTTGTTATATCCAGCTGAAAACTGGTGTGTATTATTCATTAAGGTGTATTAAAACGGATGAGAGAAGGATATTTTAATATTCACAGTATATAAAAAGTTACAATATTTGAAACAAGCATGGAAAAATTGGTTGATGAATGGCCAAGGTTTATCCTATAAAAAAATACTTTCTTTTATTATGAATACCCTTTCCTCATATGAATTCTTTAAAATATGTTAGAGAAATCAACAACAAAAATTAGACCAAAAGCTTAAACGAGTCTGAAGTTAACATGTTTTAAAGATTTTTAAGAGGCAAAATTTTATTCTCAGAAAACAATAAATATATGAAATAAAAGAATAAAACCATAATAAAAAGTTCAAAAAAAAACTTATTAAAACCCTCCTGGAAAATATTTTGACTTTTTTTCTTCATCATCTTTGTCTAAATAACATTTTTTGATTGTTCTTAGTTGTTTCCTTCTCTTTTTAATTGTTTTTAGTTGTTTCCTTCTCTTTTTAATTGTTGTTAGTTGTTTCCTCTTTTTGACAGTCAGTCAAGTTTTGAAGGGACTGCTTTACAGTTTCTTTTTATTGAGTTTCATGGATGTAACATATCCTGTTAGTTGAAACTTAGTTAGAACAGAGAGGATTCCATGTGGGCATTCATTAAATTCAATAACAGCTAAACTGTCTCCAGACTCTAAGACCATTCTAGCAACAAAAATATTTTTTGGGTGTCTCCAAATAATCTGATTGAGTGTCTCGTTGACATTTTACGTCTTACCATGAAGACATTTTTTTTGTAAATCTGAAGATAATTCAGTAAAAGTTGGTTTCAAAATATTGAAGACTGCAACAGAAAGATTTACATGCTCTACATAAGTATTTACACCATAAACTTTGTCTGAATGAAATTTGCACCAAGTGTCTTTTGGGTACATACAGTATTGACATTCCTTGTCATCAAAATCTGTACAGTGAAACATAACTGCTTAAACAGTTTTTTTCATAGCATACAAATTGTCAAGATTGTTTCTTATGACTAGGTCATAAAAAACAATCTGACAATCAAAATTCTGTAAACAATTCTGCATAGAATTGATTACAGGATTTGTTAACTTTCTTTTGCCATGGAGTGGTGTTTTTATTACTTTGTAAGCCTTAACAACCTTACGAAGTCTAGTTCTTACTCTTTTATGTACATGACCAATACATTCCAATTTTGTGATCCTAATATTCAAATCTTTGTAAGGATCACTATTTATTACATCTTTAAATGAGGAGGTGTCACCACCTAATGGTGTCACTCCTAATTATTTATTATAATTCAAGTTATTTGTCACCTTAGGTGTCACTCCTAAATATTTATTATAATTCAAGTTATTTGTTTCGATTGAGCGATTGAATATCATTGATAAAATATCCTTGGATTTGCCAGGTTTAATCAACAGTAACACATTTTTGTGTTAGGAAATCAGAGTTAGACTGAAAGCTAGAGCAGCTTTTAGCATGCTGTTACCAGCTGCATCATAATATGCTTACTTGATAGAACCTTGGTTGTGACGATAATAGCAACTGTTTGTAATACTAAACACGCTCAAGCAAGAAAAGAATCATTCCATGGTTTCAAATCGAATACTAATCTCTCACGAGGTAATAATACTTCTAATATATATTTTAATGATTCATTCTTTTTTGAACGTTCCTCTTTACTAATACTTTTAATAATACTTTTACAGATTTCTCAAGATTTGTAATCTCCTCTACACCTGATTATGCAGATTTATGCTGATTATGCAGATTATGCAGATTTACTTTCTGTGTCAGAAAAAAAAATCATTAACATCATCAACAGTATTTGATACATTATTTTCAAAAACAGCTTTTTCTTTGTTTTGTTAGTATTGCTTATGTATATGAAAGATTTGATAGGATTGTGAAGATGGTGATTTGTTCTTTTTCACTTCCTGCTATAAATCTTCTTATTCTTCCCCAGCCATAAATTAAATATAATTTCAAATGGATTTGCAATAAAACCAAATATCCAAACAAAATCAACAGTTGAATTCACAGCACTTTTTACTTTTTAAAGCTATCACAGTTTTAATCCAAATTATCAGAGACTATTCACAAGTAATAAAATGAGTTCAAAAAAATTGAAAATTTTTATAACAAATAAGTTTTTTTTAGTGGAAGACCACCTTAACTAAAAGTGACTCAAAAAAAAAGAAAAATAGAATTGAATAATGAGACAAAAATAAGAAAAATCGAGACTAAAATATGAAAAAATTCCTAAAAAAAAAATGAAAAATTTTTATTGGAATCAAAATCTTTTAATTATCAATAACTGAAATATATTGCATTATTAAATATGAAATTCTATAAAACAATAATTTAAAAAAAAAAACATAAAATTACAACTAGATTTCAAAAAATAAAAAATGTACTATCTCTTTGAAGTTGTTCAAGCTCTTCCTTATGGTTAGAATCACCATATTTCTCCTCTGCATCTAAAGTATCTTCAACATCTTCTTCATCTTCACTTAAAACATATTCATCACTTTCATCATCACTTGATGTTTCATCACTTTCACTTTCACTATTGAAAAAACATTTGATTTCATTAAAATAAAAACAATGGTAAAAAAAAAAACCTAATACAAATAACAAAATAATAAATATGACAATCATTAACACATGGTCAAAATGATATTATATGCAAAATATTCACAAAACAAACAGAGAAAAATCTTTCATAAACTTTTGTTTGATTGGTGGGTCACATTTCAGGGTTTAAAGTTTTATGATAAAATTTGAGTTGCTTTCCCACAATTTGAAAGTGATACAAAAATTTACTGAAAAAATATTAACTATATTCAAAAAATATCTACACTCAAAACATGAAAAAGTAATATTGAATTTGTAACAGTTGGCTAAAATCTCAATCAATAATACTTTAGAATAGTAGATAACAGAGGTCATGGCAATTTTGACCACACTATTAGCGCATGTTATTAGCTAGGGCTAAAGTTTTTTTTAATTAGGTTGCAAAATTTAACTGTTAAAAAAGTTAACAAAAAATATTTTCAAAAGAGTATTTTAAAAACAACAAATAAGAGTAACATTCAAAAAATCTCAAAAACTTAAGATCAACTTTCAATTTTTTGTCTAAAAAACTAAAAAAGACATCATTTAAAAACATTTAAAAATAGATAAGTAGAGAAAGGGAAGATTGAGATTGTGCTTAATTTTTTTTTTATTATTTAAGGAAGATTTAAATTTTTTTAATTTAAAAGATATGATTGGATCAAGCGATGTATGTTAAAAAGCATTTAGTTAAAACTAAAACATATTTATTGTAAACGACAAGTCCCCTGTTAAATTTATTTTAAAAGAATAGTCTTATATAACATAAAACAAATTGCAAAAGAACTTTTTTATTCTAAATTTAATTACAGTCATATTTCAAATAATTCATTGCTGTTTTGCTTAGAGTCTAAAAAAGCAACTGTTATCCATTTGATAAGAGCTAATGGGGTTATAACTGAACACAATTTTGAAATTTATTTAAAATTTTTTTTAAAAGTTAAGTTTTTTTATGTTTTTTTCTTTTGTTTTTTCAGGGGGAAATGGTTTCTATAATAATAATTGTTTTTATTTTTATATTTAACATTTTAAAAAAGCATTGATTTGAAAAAACTTTTTAGTTACTTCTTTTACTACTTTTTATTTTAAAGTGAATTAGAAAAATAAAAAAAAAGGATAATAATTGAAGTAATTAATAAATAAAACAACCATAGTAGAAAAACCTAACCATTGCAGAACAAGATTAAAAATGTAAAGAAAAATTCTTCACTTTTAGCTGAAAAAGTATTCTTTGAATTTCTTTTTCTTTATGTAGCAAATTTTTTTTAATTAGTTTTTTGCACTGTTTTTTTTTTTTTTTTTAATAAGCAAATGAGTGTAAATATAATCAACAAACATATTAATGATATATTCATTAATATGTTTGTTGATTATATTTACACTTATATCATTTTTTCTTATAAAAAAAAAAACAAAGAATTACCTTATCTCTTTTTGACCAATTTTAGTTAGAATATTTTCAGGTATAGCATTAATTAAATCTTCGATGGGCATTTCACTTTCTCTTCGTAAAGCTTCTAGTTCATCCTCATACTTTTCCTTTAAAAAAAAAAACATACTTTTCCATAAAAAAATAAATAAATAAAACTGATAAAATATTGCTTACTTATCTTATTGACAATTTAAAAGGTAGATTAAAGAATTAATATTAAATTTCTTGAAAAGATGTTCTGAAATTATATCTATTTTTATTTTTGTTACGCAAAGTTGTTATATTGTACTAGTTTTAAAAAAATAGTTCAGAAGTAAAATCATCAGGTGAAAAAAGTTTTGGTTGAATATATTATCAGGCCCCAGCTATTAGGCGCTTTTTTTTTTACTAAATAAACTCTACTGTAGGGATGGTAAGCATAATCCAAGAAATATTAATATAAGATATATAAATAAAAAATGGACTGTACGAAAAGTTTGAAATGACTAAAAAAAAGAAAAAAAAGATTCGAGGCAACCTTAAAAAAAAAAGTAGTACCATTGCTGACATATGCAATACACATGTTAGATTGTCTAAAATGTTAATTTTGCCACTAGTTACTTACATTACTTTGATTTTCTTCTTCTGCTATAGTTGTTTCATCATCATCAATATCCGATTCTGGCTCAAATTCATTATCACCTAATAAAAAACAATGACATTTTTTATTAATTTTACCAAAAAATGAAAGTATTTGTATTAAAACCTTTTTCATTTCAAAATAGGTTGTGTTTGTTTACTTTTAAATTAAAAATATATTTTACTTCATGTATATGACACAAGAACAAACAATTATGCAAACAAAAGATAATAAAATAACATGTTTTCAACAGTATATTATTGTGCTTATACTTTTATAATATTATAATATATATCAAAACTTTGAAATTTGCACAACCACACCAAACTATAAACACCAACCATCAAACAAAACCCACTAACCTTTTATTATGACTTCTATCATATAAAAAGAAAATCTTAATTAGTAAGCAAAATATATTTATTTGATGATTATCATTGTTTTTATGTCATTATTTTTGCATTCTTTTTTACGCACTTGTATGGGTTATACAATTCTCATAATGCTATCTATTGTGTTACTTTCTCAAAACCTGTTCAAGCAAATTTTATTAGTTCAAGAATATTTTTTTTAAATTTCACAGATAGCTACATAAAATAAGAAATATTTTAAAAGAAATATCCTAATAAAATTACTTTGCTTGATTTGTTTCCAACTTGCCTGCAATATCAATGAAATACTTTTTAGAAATGTTTTTGATATTTTTGCATCTTTCAAAAAATTCTTTCAAACAATCTTTTTGGATCAAATCTTTTGAGTCCATTACATCTATCCTGAAATTCGTTCCTTTTCTTCACAGATGTTTGCCATTATTGATCAAGTTTTTTACTTTGCTTTTCAAAATAGCTTCAATACCATCAACTACTCTTTTTTAAATACTTTTCTGCTAAGAGGTTCAATTCAATATAGGTTTTCAAAATTTTGACTTTTAGACGTGTGATAAAATACATAATAAACTTGCTTTTGAGTTGACTGCAAGCATTGTTAGAGAGAAAGTTCATATCAATTACTGTTTCCAGAAAGGCTTTAACAATCTTTCAAAAAATCATAAAAATATTCCAAAATTAGAGTGATAAGAAATTTGGCATGTTTGCTAAAATCTCTTATAAAGGACATAGTTTTAAATTTGTTTAGCAAACAGAATTAAATGAATCATTCTTGGAGACGCTTTCAATGACAATATCTTAATGTATTGATTGTCTTCAATGGTTCTGCTTGATTTTTTCATTTTCATCCAAGTGTGCTAACTCATTTTTTAAAGCATTCTGTAGATGGCAGAGTAGTATTTTGTTCAACTCATCAATATGTTGGCATTGTTAAAAAAAAACTTGGTCTGTCCTCATGGGATGCTTCAAACAAAAAATTTATGTTTTCATGGTCAGTACAGATACACATTTCTTGAGGCGTCTTAAAGAAACTTATAACATGTTCTGGACATGAATCATAAAACAATTGATTCACTTTTTAAATTTGGATGTCTGATTTTGAATTGACCTTTTTGACTTTGCCACCTTCACTACGAAAGTGGATGGTTGTTTAGGAAAATTACAAAGTACTAGTGAACTTGTCAATAACTCTTTAGTAATTCCTGAATTTGCTTTTTAATTCTTTTTATGAATTCTGCTTTTTAAGCAGAATACATCAAAAATTTTCAGCAAAACCTTTCCCCCTACAACATTAATAACATTTTCAGCATCACAAGCATGTGATGAAAACCTGCTGATTTCATCTGATTCATTAAAAAAGACGTTCAGTAATCTGTATTAGATCTTAGATCAGTATTATTTTAGATCTTAGATCTTAGATCGATAGATTAGATAGTAAAGTTAAGTTACTAGTCAGTATTAGATCTGTATTAGTAATGATCTGTATTAAACAATCTGATTCAGGAATTGTTTAAAAGTAACCATACATATTTTTAAACCATACAATTGAATTGTATGGTTTAAAAGTAACCATATAGCCTTTTAATAATATATTGATCTTTTCTCGGATATATATTGATCTTTTCTCGACCAGAAAAAATATATATATATTGTCTTCAAAATGTTTTATATATAAATATAAATATATGTTATAATATAGTCGTATATAGTATGGTACAAGTTAAAAAATATTTTATATTGTTTATATATAGATACACTAGGTTATCAAACACTTCTATTTAATCTTTCTTAGATTGTTTTTTAGTGAAATATCAAGCTCTTTAACTGCCAGTTCTTTTTCTAGAATTGTGTTACTAAAGGAATTTGCTTTCGTAAGGATAGTGAAGTTTTGCTTTTCTTCTGCTTTAATGCTTATCTTGTTTCATCAGTTTTGAGAACTTAGATGCATTTTGCAAAAAAAAAAGTTTCTTTATAATTACAAATTCTTCATCAATCAATTTGAGTTTCTTGCTTACTTTGTCTACCTTTAACTGATCGTTATTTTCCTATAACAGTGAATTGTACCTACTTTATGCTAACCTTCAGCTTTTTAAAAGGTCACTGGGAAACTCATACTGATGAATAACTATGTCATGGGAGTTGATGTGGTAATAAACTGCTTTTTGGGAAACAAGAGATCTTTCTTGTAGATTTTCTACTAACAACTGCTTGTTCTATTGCCTATTGGCCATGAGATAAAACAAAAATGATAGCAGACTTTCCACAATGCTGAATACTTTTGATTTTTGTGCAAATAGACACCAAGAAATTTAATCAACAGAATCAGTTAATTCATTAAAGGACTCAAATTTGTTTATTATTATTTTAAAGACTCTAAATCAAACACATTCTGAACCAAAAAGTTCATCAAATTATTATTTTGCATCATCTACATCGTCAGTTGAAAGCCATTTTAATGCACTTAATCTCTCAGCAAGACTCTTAAATTTCAGAGTCGATACTTCCTTGTTTTAAACCATTGCATTTGAAAAATTCCTCATAGAAGAATACTTCAATGGGCATCTTTCTTGTAAATTTTGCAACAACATTATGATAATCTGCCTACATTATTTCTTAAATTCTAATTTATTTTCTGGTTAACAATGAAGAGAACTTAGCATTTCAGTGCTGTTCCTATGTTAATATGGTCTACTTCTAGTTGGTTATTTGATTTCTCTACTTCAATCTTCGGTAAACTAAATGCAAACTTTGATGCTATTGTGCTGTCAGAGAATTATCAGAGAATTTGAATATTTCATTTAGATTTGAGCACGATCTTAAAGAAAAATGTGACATTAATACATTCAAGCTCCATATTATTTCTGCCTTGGTAACCAGAAGTTGTTTTTTTTTTTAAATTAGGAGAACTTTTATGTAAGTTACAGATAGAACACAGCCAATTAATTTACTACAAGCATTCCGAAATTCAGAAAAACATATTTAAAAAAGAAAAAAAAAATTAAATTAAAATAAAAAACTATTTTAATAATTACTAGATGCTAATAATACTGACAGTAACAGTTAACAAAAAGTCAGAAAATACATAATTAATAAATTCAGTAGAAATCTACGCAATATTAATAATATTTCTGTAAAAGGTAAAAACATAATGAAATATTGAAGTATTTCAGAAAAAAGTTCAAGGATTTCCAGGAATTTTTGCTAAAAGGGGTATTTTTCCAGGACTTACCGAATTCCAGGACATTTCCAGGTTTTCAAGGTATTCAAGGACTGGCTGACCACCCTGTAACAACTATTTTAAATATAGTAACCAGATTACTCTTAATTACTTAACTTACTGTTACTTAACTTACTGTTACTTATGTGCATTATTTCATAATGCACTTAAGTAACAAATGATACGATAACAAAAAATGATAAACATAATTACTTTATAAATATTAATGCTACAAAACAAAAAAAAGATACTTAAAACTACATACTTAATTTTGATGAAAAAGGTGATGATGTAGACTCTTTCATCCCTTCAACAAGCCATGAAGAGTACCTCTCTGTTTGATCAACAATAAAATTTAGATGTAAATCTAATGCTTTTTTACGCTGTTCCTCTTGTCGACTTTGTTGTTTATAGCAGGCAACCTAAATTTGTAAATATATAACTCTAATAATAAAACCGTTACTTTAACATTAACTTTTTAAAACTTACATAATAATATTAAAATTTAAAAAAAAAACTTCTTAAAAACAATTTATTATCTATATAAAATTAATTTATAAAGAATTAATATTTATTAACCATTTTTTTACATCAAACATATAAAACCAGAAAACTTGAGTTATTTGTAATTTAAATTTATTTGCAACCAATAAAATCTCCAAGTTATTGATGAAGAGTGGCATGCCTGTTCACTCTGTGATAAAAATATGGTCTTTAGCTTTCAAATTACGGTTAAAGTGTTATAGAATATGTGTGTTTAAAGTTATTTACATTAGTTTAATTTACCGCATTTTGGGTGGACCAAACAAAAGGACTTTTTTAAAAATCATATAATATAAGTTAAATGTAACTTAGTTACTTTCTGCATAATTTCGAAAAAATTGTTCTTTGAGTTGTTTGGTGCGTTGGCATTTAGAGTCTTTAACTTATTCTGAAAAAAATATTTTAGCTTCAAAATCTGCTAGTCTTTCAATAATAAGAAAAAAACAGATAGTAATATTACATCCTCTGTTTTTTTCTTATTATTGAAATACCTGTTTCTTCACTATATTTTTTCAAATTAGTTGATATTAGGGTATAGCGGGGCATATCGGGACAAAGGGGCAAAACAGGACTGTCTGTTAAATATAATGAAAAAAGAGGGGCAAAACAGTTATGTCTGTATAAATATAATGAAAAAAGATCAAATAGATTGAGTACTACTTTTACTAGAAAGGCAGAGTGTTACTAAGTATTACATAATACTACAGAGTATTAAATATCTTTAAATAATTTAAACAATTCTTTATTAAACTTTATAACTTGTTTTAAAATTGACCTGTACAAAAATTTCTGTGGATTTATTAGATAGCTCAACACAATCCTTTAACTAATTAAAACCTGGCATTATAATGAAATTATTTTTTGTATATAAAATAATATAAACTCAGATATTGTAAGGGCTATATTGCAAGAGCTAAATTTTTTATTATATTTATATATATATATATATATATATATATATATATATATATATATATATATATATATATATATATATATATATATATATATATATATATATATATATCAGGGTGTTACCCAGCCTGATAGCACCGCATATAACGCGGTATTCCTAATTGGTTTAAAATTCCCGAAGGTTTATAAAATCATAGTGAAAAATAAAAAAAAAATTTTCAATTGCGCTTTTCTCGAAATACGTTAAAAATAATAATTAAGGCGTTTTGAAAAACGGCTGAAGTATATTAAAAACAAAGAAAAGAAGCGATTTAAATGAAAACATTAGAAGATTGCTCATAATGAAACAAGTTGATTAATTAAAATTAAACATATATAAAGTAGAAAAATAATCATGCTGTAAATGTAACTCCCTGCAAAAAAAGAAAGTTTATTTTGATTAGAATTTAATTGCAGAACTTAAGGACCTTTTTTTTTTTTTTTTTTGTTATGGCAAAAACGCTGTATAAAATTTTTTCCTGGGTAAAACCCTGTATATGTATGTATGTATGTATGTATGTATATATATATATATATATATATATATATATATATATATATATATATATATATATATATATATATATATATATTATACAGACTTACTTATTTTAAGCATATCATACTTGTAATAAACACTGCAATTCAATTATTGAAATTTTTTTACTTAATAAAAATAATTTATACTATTAGCAGGTAGTGTACTCCGCAACATATTATGTCAGTTGAACAGCCATAAATATATACATACAGTAAAATATGACAATTAGCAAGTTATATTTTCAAAAAGCAGAATAGTTGATTGTTAACATTTTTCAGATCAAAAACTATAAACCTATTTGTTTTAGTTTTCACTTGAAAACTATAAGCCTATTTGTTTCAAGTTATGATGTTCAGTTTTTAAATGAGCAACTAAAAAATGACTTGGTGGTGTCTAAATATAGTTTAAGACTAAATGAATACTGCATTCCTATGCTTCACTAAAATTAAATTATGGCCCAATATTCCAGGGGTGGAACCTGCAGTTTTTCCCTGGTAGTTGATTGGTGTACAATTAAAAAAATTTCCACAGGCAAAATTTCCTACCTCTTGGACTGATAATGAAAGTCTAGCCCTTGTCACAGCTTTTTTTTATCAAACTGGACCTTTGATAAAATAAAAATTTCTTTTAAAAAATCATTAAAATAACAAAAGATACCTTTTCAATCTGCTGCCAGAAAATTCTGACTTCTTTTGAAATTCCCGATGCTATTCTTCTCAATCTAACTTTCTCTTCATTTTGAGCACGTTTGTTTTGACTAGCTTGATCTTGATGGTACTTTAAAACTGCTCTCGAAATCTATACAAACATTTAAAAAACAATAAATGATAAACATAATTAACTTCATGCAAAACATCATTAACTTAACCGAAACTACAAGAATCTTTTTTTATTAAATTAAACTATATTTAACGCAAGCAGGAGCAAGAGCTTCTACACTTAAGACATCGTTACAAACTGTTAAAACTTCTATGCTGTATAAAACTGAAATTTAAAATTAGAACTTTGTGTTGAGTTGATGAATCACTTTTATTTTAATTTTTTTTAATTCAAAAACCTAAAACATTTGTAGACATCTAAAAGATCTAAAAAGAGTACGTTTAGAGTAAACGAGTAAAAAAGTTTAACAAATAAAAAAATTAAAAACTATTTTATTTGCAAAACTAATTATACTTTAGAAAAAGATAAAACTAATACTAGGACATATCAAATATGCAAGGCCCTAAATGAACTTTGAGAACTAAATTTATAAACATTTATTTACTTTCCTTTTTTTAATAAACAAACATGCCTTGCTTAATAGAAAACCGTTCGCAAATAAACACATCCTTTTTGCATAGGTAAATTATACTACTGATAATTATACTATAATAATGGGGTATCTTACTTGTGTAAACTCTAAGATAATGGATCTTGTAATATGTGGACTTTTTTCATATTACATCATATGAATTTTCAAAATGCAAAAAAATATTCAAAGGTTTAGTGAATGAAATTTGAGAGTTAAAACTAAGGCAGAAGGAAAAAAATCATTTTTTCCATTCTTGTTAAGCTTATTAGAGTGTGTGTGTGTATATATATATATATATATATATATATATATATATATATATATATATATATATATATACTCTATATTTTAAGCTTATATATATATATATATATATATATATATATATATATATATATATATATATATATATATATATATATATATATATATATATACTCTATATTTTAAGCTTTTATATATATATATATATATATATATATATATATATATATATATATATATATATATATATATATATATATATATATATATATATATATATATATATATATATATATATATATATATATATATATATATATATATACATATATATATACACACACCTGGGTGCATATATGTAAATATTAAAGATGATTTCTTTATATTATCATGTATAATAATGTATATTTTAAAGAGTGCTTAATAGATAAACTAGAGCTATATAGTATATATATTACTGTTACCCGCAGTATCAGGAATTAGCTAAATGCTAATATTTATAATATTATATTGCAACTTAAAGTTTCATGTGTTACCACAATCATCAGGCAAGTAGTCAAAAGTTAATTTTGCTACAATGTGTTTAGAAAAAATTTACGGTTTATATTAGTATTTTAGATCGTTATGGGATGGAAATTGTTTAGTAGTTAAGGTTAATGTTATTATTAATTTGTTTTTAGTTAATATATGTGAAGTTGTTGTATGTTTTAATGTCTGTTATAAAAATACAATTTAATAATAATGTGAATTGTTTTTAAAAATTATTGTATTAAAAATAAATGAATATAAAAATAAGTTTTAAAAGTGGGTATAAGAATATAAATTATATTACGAAATAATCTTCAATACATTCTAATAACCTTCAATACACTCATACATCCTCTAACCACCCACCACAAATCCTTAAGCAATTACCTACTTCAATAAGCAACAGACTTATATAAAATTCCTCAAATGAAGCTATATTTAACCAATCCAAAAACCAATATGAACAAGCACTAAAAAATAGTGGATATAAAAACAACTCACTAAAATATCATATTAAACAAAATCCACCCCAAAGAATAACATTAACCTTTGAATTGTTTAGTAGTTAAGGTTAATAACATTAACCTTAACTACTAAACAATTTCCGTCCCATAACGATCTAAAATACTAATATAAACCGTAAATTTTTTCTAAACACATTGTAGCAAAATTAACTTTTGACTAATTGCCTGATGATTGTGGTAACACATGAAACTTTAAGTCCCAATATAATATTATAAATATTAGCATTTAGCTAATTCCTGATACTGCGGGTAACAGTAATATATATATATATATATATATATATATATATATATATATATATATATATATATATATATATATATATATATATATATATATATATATATATATATATATATATATATATATATATATATATATATATATATATATATATATTTATATATTATTTTTTTCAACATCTTTGGTTCCAACAAGGCTGCAAGCAACCATTATTAGAGTTGGAAGTTAATGGACGAGAAAAGCTGAAGTTTATAGAGCAAGATAACGATTGACAGACGTCTTAAAAGATTGCAAATTATATGAATCAGGAAAAGCAAGATAAAGGATTCCAAAGAACTAATGTTCGAGGAAAAAAAGTAGACAAAGAAGAGTTTTTGGAGCACTTAGGAACAGTCACAAAAAAAGGATGAGACTTAATCGAATGATGAATAACACGAGAATGAATTTTAGTATGTTTACAATGTATATTTACAATGCATTTTTTTTGCAAAAATGCATTGTAAACTATGTTTACAATGCATTTTTGCACATTGTCTAAAAGAGAAAGGGTGTCATTCAAAGATCCGCTCCAGATATGCGAACAGTATTCCATACAAGGATGGATTTGAGATTTATAGAGATAAAGAATAGAATCTGGAATAAAAAAGTGACAACCACGATGTAGAGATCCAACCTTAGTAGATGCTAATATTGCAATGGATTTGATATGTGGTTTCCAAGAAAGATCAGAAGTTAATCCTAGAAGATGAAAGGTAGATGACTCATCGAGTACATTAGCGTTCATAAATATAGGAAGATCTAAATTATTGCGATAATAATTGTCTGAAAAAAAATTAGTTTTTATCTGAATTAAAGTTCACCAGCCACTGTGAGCCTCGTGCTGTAGCAGAAGTGAGATCCTTTTCAAGCTCAAATATTCCCTTCAAGCAATCAAAGAGTGTTAGCTTCTTCTTAAGACAAGAATAAATGGTACAGGGTTGCCACTATAATTTTTAAAGTTTTTCCCTGAGTTTTTCCTGAGTATTCACTGAGTAAAGAACATTTTTCCCTGAGTTGAACTCTTTAAGTTCCCTGAGTTTTCCCTGACTTTTCTATATTCTTTCCTGCTCATCATCAAGATTATTATATTCCTTAATTAAACACAATCTTTATATTTGACAAATTAAAACTTTTACAACAACACCTCATCTTGCAAACTTATTATTATTTTTGAAAAAAAAAATTCTTGTACAAAATTTCAAAAAAAAAAATTATTTGAACTGAACTTTATGAAAATTTTAAAAAATCCCTGAGTTTTCCAGATTTTCCCCGGGATTCATGCTATTTCCAGGTATTCCAGGTTGAGTGGCAACCCTGAAGTAGTATTATCAGCGAACAATACCACCTTAGATGTAAGAATATACGGAAGATCATTAATATAAATTTAAAAAAGTATAGGGTCAAGGATTGAACCTTAAGGAATTCCTGAAGTTACAGGATATGAAGAAGAGTGCTGTTAATCAAAGACAACTTTTATCCTAAGATTGGGAAGGAAAGATTCAATAACCATAAAGATATTACCTGATACACCATAAGAAAAGAGCTTATGGAGAAGGCCAGCATGCCAAACTTTATTAAACTATAACAGGTGTGTTGTCTGTATGACAAGCTGTTGAAGAGTTTAAGCAGAAAATCACTTTAGATAAAGAAGCTAGAGTGATATAAATGTCAAGCAAGGAATAAACCTGTTTGTCAGCTATATCAGGTAGAATATAACTAGTGGAATTAAGAGATAATATTGATTGAAGTTCTTAGCAAACAATTCAGCTTTATTTTTAGGTAAGGCAACAAAATCTGAATCATACATGAGAGGTGGAATAGCAGATTTGCCCTTGTTATTGATACTGTAAAAGATTCTCCATAAGTTTTTTGTGTTAATCAAAAAATAAAAATTAAACAAATTAAAAGATTAATTAATCAATTTAAATACTACACCTTTCTTCCCATATTTCTTTTCCATTTTTTTTCTTGAGCAAAATCTGCAGCAAGCCATTGCATTTCTTCTAAAAGAAAATCCCAATGAGACTTTTTCCTTAGTTGTTCACAGACCTTTGGCAGTCGACTTAAAGACCATAGACCATTTTTTCTAAGTTGTGAAATTCTATCTAAAATATCAGATTCGTGTTTTACTTGACCAGCAATATCTTCGGATGCAATTTCAGAATTTAACTGCTGAGAACTAGTAACTTTTAACGATTCTTTAGGACCTATGGATTGATCATTGTTAGAAACCTCTTCATTTTTAATA